ATTTATCAGTGGAAAACTAATTGCATCAATCTTTAATTGAATTCACCTCTATTCTAAATGGAAATTTTTTCTTCATTCTTCGTTTTATCACGCGTGCGTTTCAAGAAAAACACCTTGTTCAACTTTAATTATTTAAGGTGCGACGATACTGCAATTTTACAATTTTTATTACAGCTCAGTTAAGACAGCACGTTTGTATTCCTACGGTTTAAATAGTGATTCCAACGAAGTGATTGATAGTGTTACAATGCAAAAGCGCGACCCATGCAGACATATGTAACCCGTGCCGGTTTTTCCACCGACATTATCGAATTCGCATTACTGCGTTTACGAAAAACGCGTCGGAGGTATTACCGGATCTGCGGTAAAAGCACGATAGGATATCGATTCTAACTCCGAGTGACTCGGCCGTTGCATTCTCGGGTATTGATCACTCGGGAATAAACATGGTATGCGCGTCGGCACTGGAAAATAGCATATTCATAAGTACGGCACTACACAACCGGTGTCTTTGAGCATACGGAGAGATGGAAAAATATGGTAGGCAAAATATGGAGTATAATTGCCGACAATAACTCTCTGTCGTGCAATATATTACAATTTTTTTAGTACATATATATTTACATATAAAAATTTAAAAAAATATTCTTTGCATCATACATAAATGCTTGTACATATAAATCAACGTTGCAGAAAAGTAAAAGAAAATATTCAACAATATTCGCGAAATAAAGAAATATCCTGCAAAGTTTAAAAATATTTTATCTCTTTTCTAATCACATTATAAGAGTTTCTAAATTATTAATGTAAAGAAATATATTATTGTATTCGTAGATTGAAATTTCTGAGCAAGACGGACCAGTCAGAATCCCGGAACGCCAGAAGTTAGAATACGCGTAATCACGAAGAAGTACTTTGCGCACGTTCCCACGGATTGTCGATGTCCGTTGAAGATATATAGGCATTCTTACTTTCCGGATGCAGCGTCGGCGGAGGCTTGCGGTTCATTAAAAGTTGCGGCGATGCGAAAAATTCTCATCTATTAAAATTTCACTGGCGCTTCCGAGCCAGGGGCCGGGGCGGCTAAAAGGACAGTTTGTGGAAGCCAGCAATCCCGCCCCCGGCGGCGTTGCACAGCGTCGTTCGTTTATCGCCGCCGACCGGCTTTTTCTTTAAATACAACTATTTACCGCGAGCTTCGCGGTTTCGCGCTGGAACCAATTTCTCCGCCCGGCCGTTGGATCCCGTCCAAGAACTGTAACCCGAGCGCTTTTTTGAGCCCGTCGTCGTTGGTCGCGCCGCGACGCAAAAAAAAAAGGGGTGGACTGTCCGGAGTGAGAGCTCGATAAAATATCCGCGTTACGTGCTTACAGTAAGGTCGACGGTCGGATAAAGGACGCCACAGGTTGGAAATTGCTAAAACTTTTTTTATTTCATCGCGCGGCACGTGCGATAAATGACGTCGCCGCAGGCGCCAGGCGCAGCCGCGGCAATGGGGAAAGAATTGCATGGCGAACTGGAAGAATCCAGCGGAAGATTAGCTCGGCTCTCATCTCCGTTAGACGAGAAGTGAAGTGAGACTACGATCGCACGAAGGCAGTGACTTATCTCTTCATCCGATGTATACGCTCTGAAAAATTGCTCCAAGTTGCACTACACGGGAAAACCTTTCCGATCGACGTATCTCTGAATTGATATCTTCGTCTGCAAACAAATATATACATACGCGAGATATGACTCGCAGACGATAAATATCTTTCCGTATACAAAAATCAATTTCGACTCGTTTAAGAAGATCCATCAGCGTACTGTTTATCCGGCATGCACGCGCATCCGTATATCGGGGTATAAATACGCTGTATAGGTACGCAATATAGTATATTTCGTGATGTACACGGCGTACATAGCCGCGCGATATGGCTCCGGCTACCGGGGGTATATGGCGGAAGAAGGCATCGACCTGCGGCTTTTATGAAGATAACATCTCTGCTTATGAAGCATAGCTTATCTACCGCCCCGCCATAGATCTTTCAGCGGGTACGGAAGCCCTCCTTGCCGCCTGTATAACCAACCACCAGGCCGGGCCAGAGACCGCCTTCCATAATCCATTATAGTTTCTAAAACGGCCCGCAGCCACCGGGAACTATACGCGCATACCTCGGCAAGAAGCTGTTTACGAGGCCGCGACGCGACCAGCGAAAATTCGCAAACATGCACGTGCGTTCGCGCAACCAGCGCGTATCTTTGTCGGGGACGTACTTGATGATTTACTCACACGCGGAAACCGCTACCTACTTGTTCTCGAGTTGTTTTTCAGCGCCGATGTTCGTTCATTGAACCGTGTGGACCACGTACGTTAAACGTCTGCGGCGAATAATTGGATTGTTTTGTGCGTTTTTGTTTATACTTTGCGACATCATATATCTTAAAGCACGCTAGAATAGAGAAGAAATGTTAGAATACATATATATATAATCTTTATTTTAAATATGTGAATGTGTAAATTGATTTTTTTAGAACGTTAAAATCTCGTCTTCATTTCCATTAATTTTAATATTGTACGAATTAAAATTGTGCTACTAGCTTAAATATTTGACGATCAAAATTTTATTAATATTTATGAGAAGTATATCAAAGAATTCTTATCTCGCATCGCACATCGAAAATATCTCAAGAGTTTTGTAGAATTGTTTGAAGTCTTGCGGATATCGATTCCCTAAGGAGGAATTAAAAAAGAAATTCTTAACAGTAACACACTTTAAAACTTTTGTAAAGTATCGATGGTGCTAAAGTCTCGACACATCTTGAAAGTCTTCAAACTTTATGAAGGTGTAAGAATTTATGGTTACATGAGCACAGTAGCGTGCATTCAGAAGATCTCACGTGAACAAAAGGGCTTCAAAATCAATAATTTTGAAACTATCGGAAATATTGCAAAGCAAAAGAACGGTGTAAAAAAAAGAAGAAAAGCAGTCTCTTGTTACTTTTAACATCCACTGAAACTTAAAAGACATTTCAGTTTCAAGTTCATCTTTATAGTCGCTTTTAAATTTTATTTTGCATTTATCGTTCAATTATTTCACTTCATTGAAAGAGTATCTTGAATTAAAAATAAAGCAGAAAACATTTTTATAACTGTACTTATTTTAACAATTAATAATAAGTTATAATAAATTGCATAAGTGAATAACACAATTAAATTTAAGAGCTTTAAATAGCCGAGGTTGGATATTCAATCTGGTACTTAACAATATTTTTATATGAATTCTAAATTCATTTTTCAGTTATCATTATTCAGCCAGAGTGAGGTAATATTTTTCGCAATAAATTTTTTCAGCAGTGTTTCGAGATACTTAATCGCATTATATTATTAAAAAATTGAAGATCAACTTATTTGTGATCCACTATTCCAGTTTCGGTTTATGATTGCGTTGCAAGTCAACCGTGTTCGGCGCGCAGTTTAAATAAAAATGGATTTAGAATATAGAAATTATTATTAGATACTAAGATATCCAACCTCTTGATCGTTTGAAGGCGCTTTCAAATTTAATTGTGTACTTATTTTAATTCTGTGGTAAAACAGTTGGCGATTTTTCGAATATTTAACAAGCTGACTCAGAAAATTTGAGAGCCTCTGCTTTATGGTTCAAGACCCCATTTCCAATTTCTTGAAGTAACTTTCGCATACATTACAACTCAGTGTTAACGCGTACGTAAGCATCACGGCTTCAACATTAAATGGTCATTTCTTTCTCTTTTCGCCGCGCTACACCCATCAAACCGCATTCCATGAGAAAGTTGCAGCGCGCATCGCACGCATCCGAGCAGTAGTACGTCAGGATTATCTGCGAGCACGTTAATGAAAAGACGTCCGTCCGTTTCGCAAATGCACACGCTGTGATGAGGTTGGCAGGAAGGATGACGTTTTAAGAGGCATAGAGAAACGCGCGTTGACTTTCGATGATTAATGTGACGTCATATTGTCCGTTACATACGCCTAAACTATGGATACGCCAGTACCGCGTTTTACACGACGTAATAAAGAATAAACTTAAATGAGTAAGTGACGAGCAAGTAGATGCATCTGGCATAAATAGCTGTCAGATGTATTTTATACAAATGTTGCCGCTTAGATAAATGCTGTCTGTGAGAAGCATAGAAAGTATTTTTAGCAAGTTAATATTGACAAGTAAAATCTTCGAATTTGCGAATATTTTATTTTGGAGTGAATTTTTGGATTCCCAAATGGATCAATAATCGTTTAGTAAAGATAATTTAATTATTGTAATATTTAAGCATCTATTATTGTGTAATATAGAAAGAGAAATAAAGAGAGAGAAAACTGAGAAGTATATAAATTTCGATCGAATAAGACAGACTGTATAATTAAAAAATTCTTCATGACTTTCAATGCACTTTTCTGCCGAGATATGAAGTAGCCTTTTATTTGATGAAAAATGCTCGTGGCAGCTCCGTGCTAATCTCGGCTTGATCATATTCTGTCGAGAGGCCCGCAATGGAATTAAACGTGAAGCGGCTACGAAGATACCATAATGAAGACAGCGAAAGCCCCCTGCCATCGTATCGCCGGCGATTCTATCCACGCGTATCTCCTCTTGCTTGCGAGTTTGCCGAATACGCTCCGCGCGTTCCTACGACGCAGCACACATCGCTTTATCCCGGTTTTCCGCGGATCGCGAGACGGGACGTGATAAATGCTCCGACACTGACATCAGAAAAATATACTCCCGTTTCTTCAGCGCTCGGTGCCCCCGGTAGCCCCTTATCTCTCGCGGCTTGAGACCGACCCTCTGAGAAATGGCTTGTTTAAAAAAAAAGCACCAGCGGTCGGATTTTTACATCGACTGTTTACCGTCTGTTTTGCCTTAACAATTTTAACGTTGATCGTTAACGACGTAAACGCGAGCGTCGGAAACCGAACTAATATGCGATAAGCGCGAAAACAGGGTAAATAAGTGTGTCTCGATGGCAAGACAGTGTTTTCAATGTACATTTTTATATGCAATTATTTATACAAATGTATCAGTAAGTACAGAGAATGAAAACAATTGCAGATTCGCGTGTCATTAATGTGAGTGCAATCATACGCAGTCCGCTCGCTTTATAAGTCACTTATCGCTTCGTTGTAAGTAGAGTGCGGAAGTTTGTGAAGATTTACGACGAGCCTTTCCCAAGCTGAAGCGTATTTGCGATTATTTTTGTGTCCATTATTTATTAAATTAAACAGAATCTCCTCTATTTTTTACTATTAACGTTGTCACGCAAAAAAGACAGTTGCCCAATTCATAATAATACAGGCATTTTTATAAAATAAATACTTGAATATGTACGAAACATTCATCCCATTTTGAAACTTCACGAATTTTTGCACTCTAATTACATATAATCTTTCTCAATGTAACATATCATATATATTTTTGTTATAGAATTTGTTTAATATTACCAAGTGTGTGCAAAATCTTATATTTAAAATCTTAATTTATTCACATTTATTTTATCCAAGTCGGAATAACATGGCACGATGTAAAATGGGAATAAATTAGAGTTATTCTTTTTCATCACAGTCATTATAGTTAAAATCTCAATTTTCAACTTGCTTTAACATTCATAATTAATTTCTATAGACACATATATTTTATTGAACTAACATCTAGATTAACTATACGTAAAATGCTGTTAATTATTCGGGATCAATTTTCCTCAACAGTAACATCACATTTTTTAAATTAAATAATTGACATTTGCGTAAAAAAAACAAACCTTACATACAAATCTAAATAATAAAAAAAAATATTAGAAATAAGATATTATTAAGCGTTCATGTCATGTGCGAATGCCACGCCTTTCGAGTACGTATGCCTGTCACATGATAACAAGGTACGAAAAGCGCAGCTATCTGTGAAAACACGGACAAATCTATTCGAAAAATATCGTGCTACATTCTCAAAATAAGAACATCGATAATCGCTTTGATGATTCGTCCTCGCGAATATAAAATCTAACAATCCGACCAGTATTACAAATATTAACTAGATTAAAACTCTGAGTAACACATAGTGGTTAAGTATATAATAAATGCTCAAACAGAGATATTTTTCTTCTTACTTTTAGCTTACTTTTGCACATTTAAAACACGACAAAGTAAAACGGATTATAAATACACAGGATGTTACATCATATACACATTATTACAATTTGCTTTCCTTTTAATAAATATTTTAATAATAATTTAAATTACAATGTTATTTTATCAAATAATTTATTATAAATTCTATACTCCTTTTATTCATTTGCTTAATGTACCAAATCTTTTAATTTGTAAAGTTAATTTTTCATGTGAAACAATTGATTGACAATTATTTAAACTTTAATTAGATTTGGAAATTAATATTTACGATTCAAAGAAAGTGCGTTGAAACATCCTATATATTTATAAAAAAAAGAAGATTATCTCCATAAAATCAGTTTATATTTGGAGATTTATTTTTTTCTTAAAAATAATTGAATTACTTCTCTTAACAAACGGCAGTTAGAAGATTATTTAAAAGGTCGGAAATGTGCAAATGCGACATATCATGAGAAACGTTGTCATATATCATGGCTGAGAGCACAGCTCCTTTTTAATCCATTTTGGACCGTGAAATTATTCCGCGATGGTCACACGTTTCACGTCCGCATTAAGTAATATTCGCAGTTTGCAAGTAAAATATACTCGTGTCGAGAATAATTTTCGTGTAAAAGTGATAAAAATAGTCTGATTTCTTAGGTGCTATATTGCATGTACGCGATTAAAAGTAGACTAGAACGTGTCTCTTAAGACGAAAAGAGGCAATCGCTAAACAATTTAAAAATAAAACTCACTACCGATTCTAAGAATTTGATCGCCTGGATGACCACAAGAACGTGTAATACCAAAATAAGTATTTCTATCTTATACATGTGTTGCAACCTCTCCATTAACGCGTAGTAAATACGTCTGTACGCTCGAGTACTGAATTCGCTCAGTCTTTCCATCGTATGATGCAGCTTAACGTGTTCGGTGCATAATCGCTCTGAAAAGATAAATTAATTAGTTTTATTAGAGGAAAAATATTTTTCGACTTAGTTAATTGATTGTGGTAATTTTATTGCATAATTTTATGTATGCTTATTATGTAAAATCGATTGCGATTGGCTCAACCTTGCATTTAAGAGCTGAGAGCACCTTTTTCAGTTATTGTATATTTTGCCTGGGCAATAATTTTTGTTTAAAGCTACACTTTTTTTATATGTTCAATTTCAAGTACACAAATAAAAAGAATTACTATAGATAGCAGATTTTAAAATCTGTTACATGAAATACAAACGTTACCGGTATCAGTGTGAGTCTCTTCCTCCGGCGGAGGTAGATATTTGTCCAACATAACTTCAGCAAAATCAGTAGTGTTGTCAACAGTCTTTAAAATGTTGATACCAGTTTCAGTTGACATGACCTTGTCGGCTTGTTGCCAGCTGTAGATACGTAGGTAATGTACTTTGTAATACGTGAGTAAAGTCATAACCCTCACTCTCTGCTTGGTTTCCTGCTTTAAATCGGTAAACGTTTTTACCGCAGGACGGAGACGTTCCGATACCATAGATTTGGTGCGATTCAATATCTAGAGATGGAAGAATATAACAGATAAATATATTTCAATGTAAATCTAAAGTCAAATAATCAAATATTCATATTATGGATAGAAATATTTATATATATCAACCTGTTTAGGTTCTTCTTTAATTATTGGCAGGTTAACTTCGACGAAATCGATGCCCTGGCACAGCGTTTTATCCAGCGTATAAATTGGTTTCTCCATCAGTCGAGCGACTGGCAGGGACTTCTCTATCATCGTATTCACCACACTTTCAACGGTGTCAAAGGCCCAATTTACAAATGTGTTTGTGCCTTTTACACGTTCGTAAACCTCTGTGGATTTATCCCACAAGTAGTTCACGCTGGGTATTTTGCGTGCGCGATCGACAGCTTGAATTCGATAGGACTGATCCGTGAGTTCCGTATCCATGGCTGTCATTAAATCGAGATCTCCTGCTCATGGATAAAACGAATAACCTCTTGATTCCGGTGGCTGTACACTCTGTAACCAGAAATTAACTTGTTGATTCAAAAATAATTTTAACAGCAAGATCTTATTTGTGCTATATAATTGGCTTTAAATTAAATTAAGTAAAATTTTCAACAAACTTCTTACTTTGAGAAATGTATAAGTACACAGAGAGACACAAGAGCATTATGAATAAAAGCATAAATTGTGTACACGAATTATTTACACAGAATGCAAATGAAAGAAAAAAGAATAAATATAATTTACGAACGTAGAAGCAGTAATTGTCCTTCACTCCGATATTTAACACTCAATAAAATTCCTTTACCGTCGTCATTGCATCATAAGTGTCATTATTACATTAAGCATTCTACAACTCTCAATAAATACCGACTCAGACTCCATTAGCGCATTCCGCTTATACATGAATTGCAATTCAAGCAGGACGTGCACGGCGTTCGCCGAGGAAAAAGAAAGCATACATTTAAACACACTAAGCGAGAGCTAATATCGTGATTGGAGCACAAAGCATCAGCGAGCGCCGTTGGAATGCGCGTGGCTTACTACGTCTCATTGTTCGCGTCTCCGATCGATGGGAACGTAGCGAGCAGGTATAGAAAATACCTACCTACGTACCTACGTGCCACAAGCTCAATGTCACGGCCGTGAATTGACAGATGATACGACCGACGTGATACGGATAAAGCAAAATCGTTCGTTTGACACTTACGCGATCGTCGCGACTGGACGCCAGCTTCCCTTCAGCTGCCCTATGTGGCTTTGTATCCCTCCCTCTCTCTTTCTCTGTTTCTCTCTTTCTCTCTCTCTCTCTCTCTCTCTCACTCTCTCTTTTATTCTCGTCTCTCGCTGTCCCTCTCACCAAGCATCGCAGCCGTTGTACCTTGATCCCTGACTCATTTCACTACGAAATTTGTTTACTTCGATCGCGAGTTCAATTATTTATACACTTTTACACATCAATCGAGTGTTACTCCGGTTACTCCATTTGCTGTCATTTTTCATCACCCGGTATCGAGCGGAAATACGGTTGCCTGCCACGAGATTACGTCGCTACTGTCAAGTTTTCGATGATAGTTTCATTTCGGAACCATCGTGTGTCGGTAACTTGAAGACTGACGCGGTCTACAAATATTGATCAAAAGCATTTGAATATAAATTTCCTCTTCCAAATTTTTTTCTTATAATTTATTAAAATTTTATTAAACTTTGTTGTAGTTTGTTAAAATCTTATTTTAAAAATTAATACGTTAATAAGTTTTATTTTTTTAATTAATAAATTTAAAATCATTATTTAGCTAAACATTATTTAAATCCTGTAAATTAATTTCCAACATGAGCATGTGAAAAGTTATTATTCTAATTCTCGTCTGTTTTCTTTTTATTAAAGAAAAGATATTTTATTTTTGTCACTTTCGTGAAATCATATCAGAAGTATATAGAAAGAGATAACTTAGTAAAAGCTTTAGGAAGTAATTTTTACGTTTTGAATGAAATAATTGCCAGGAAATTATCGCATTTTATTAAGTTTCATTCATAAACTGTTTCTTTAAATTACAATCTTTGATTTTTAAATTTTACTTATCAAATTAATCAGGATAAATAATAATATAAAAGACATTTTCTTCAAAATTATATTTTAGAATGCATCTACATAATACTTTTATAAAATATATACGCATTTATTCTTCACATTTGTAGTTCTTCAATACGATATTCTTTGCAATGTTTGAAACACGTTTATATACAATATTATGCATTAACTAATGATGATTCTAATAATGATACATCGGTGGTAATAAGTTTTGTTTCTTTCTCGTAATTATAAAAGCTAATAAAAATTTTACAATTTTTATCGATATATATTTGTCATGATGTGTAGAAAATATAAATTATATAATTTATTATTGGCCACAAAATTATGATTCATGTGATTTACGTATAAATATAGAACATGAATGTACAGAAATGCATCCGAAAGATCAACAAATCACAGAGATTTGGAAATATTGCTTAAATGAAAAACATTACTTCTTTAGTAATAATCAGAGTCCGGATCTTGGCTGTTTTCCCCATTCCAAGAATGTGTGCCGCATGCCGCGATAGTACTAAAAGAAACACCGTTTTTCCCACTCCAAGTTAATCTAGCATAACATGACTTTACATGTTATAAAGCTATTTTAATAGATAAACGATATTTTAACAGATAAACGGCATAATTGTTTCTTGTAACACTATCACAACATTCACGCGTCATGGAATGAAGTAAACAATACCCAGATCCGGACTCTGGTAATAACATATTTTTGCATTTTCAATAGAATGCTTTCGTTAAAAGAAATATTAAAAGTCTTCTCAAAAATATGTACAACATTCAATTTTTATAAAATTTTTATAAATACAAATTTTCTGTAACGCTTTAATTTTTGTATTTTTCGTATTTTACGTCATTTTTTTAGATACTTTCCTTCGTAGTGCGTGACAAATTAATTAAATTATGCATCGATTTGAGCGCGTATGAACGAATTGAACGACTAAAGTATCTTCAAACTTTCGGTTCATTTTTTCTCCTCGTCCTTGTTCTCCGTCGGGCTGTTTGCCTCCTTGTTGTCGGCTTGTTTCTGTCCGAGATTCAAATATTGCGTAAGATGGAGAATAGATACCACATTGGATATGTACGTTGCCACGTCCTCCTTCTTTACTGTCTTTAATTGCGCGGCAACCGAATGATAAACACGATTAGCGGTTTTCGTTGACAATTGGCCAATCGTTTGCACCGCGTGAAGCACTTTGTTCTCATCCGCAGAGACAGGATCTATAATAACGCCAGCATAATCATTAAAACGATGCCGGTTGATTAATTAATATAATGCGGAAGTTTATGAAATTTTCGAATACACATACTTGGCCTATTCTCTTCTCCTTCCACCGGCGGGAAATAATGATCTAATAAACGATTGACGAGCACGCTGGTGTTGTCAACGCCTTGCACAGCCATGTTTCCGTATTGTGTGTTTAAGAGCTCATTCGCTTTAGTCATACTGATCTCTTTCAGCGTAGATGCCTGTTGCGTGGCTGATTCCTTTGCTGTATTGAGTTTCTCGAGTGTCGGCTGTAGGGAGCTGCTCATAACCGCTTTCGCGGCATCGTATATCTGCAAATGTCAGAACGCCATTTATTTCTTCTCATTTATTAATTTCATTTATTAATCGAACAAACGTTACAAAACGACAAGGTTATTTTATATAGAATTGTATCTTTACTATTTATTCTTTTTCTATTCTTTATTTTACTAATATTTTTATAAGGGAAAAAATTTACAAACAATAATAAGGTCAAATTTTAGAAAAATGTATTTTTAAATATCGAAGAGAAAAAATTCTCCTTTAAACGGACTCAGATTTTGCGTAGCTACCTCGCTGTCAAGGACTAAATGAGGGCAGAATTCCTTTACCTGCTGAGGTGGTTGCTTTACAATCGGAACTTTTTGTTCGACCATGTCCAATCCCTCGCATAACTTCTGGTCGACAGCACTGATCGGTCCTTCGAATTTCTTGACTAAGGGTACGGCGAGCGGCACGGCCGTGGCGGTCGCGAGATTCAGCCCCGCTTCGGCTTGACTCAATGCCCAATTTACCAAATGATGAGAATCTTTAACGTAAGAATATGTAGAGCCCGTCTTCTCGATCGCCGAATGGACTACCGGAATATTTTTCACTCGGTCGAGCACCTCGAGGCGAGGGACGCCCGCGGAATTTGGCGTTGCTTTGTTTGCGTCCGCCATTCTTTCTGTGCAAATAAAATTAAATTTAAGATTGGTATTCGATGCTTCTCTTTTGAGAAAATAGCATGTGTCAAAAATTTTCGGCGATGGAATGTATTGTATTGTAAAATATAGTAACATATACGTGCCTCTTTAAATTTATAATTCAAATTTCAAAAGATTTGATTTATGCCATTTTTTTTCTGACGAAAACATTGGTACAGTGTAACAATAATGCGATATAAATAAAAACTATAAAATATGCTGTGAAATTGTATTAGCAGTGCACGATGGTATGTGCGGATTTCAATTGGATTCATCACAAAATGCTGAGTCATTTACGCTATACTTTTTTTCCAGTATTACATAAGTGGCTGTATGACGATAATTTTATGTATCACGCGTTCCAGTGTACACTCATATATTTTCAAGATAAATGTGCACATTGAGGCAAGCAAGTATTTCAACAGAGATCTTTGTACCTTGGGTAACCGGTGTGAATCAAACTCGCTATTTATCACAGTTATCTAATTCTGTATCATGCCAGACATGTGTACTTTGGTACTGTTATTTATATGTACAGCTTTAATAACCAAATTTTCTCCATCTTTTTCCTAATGCATCTACGTGTGTGCGATCGGCAAAAAAAAAAACAAATGAGGAAGACAAAAACATGCCAATGAGTAAAATCATTGCGATATATGTATTGTATATGTAGGATACTATAAATGTATAATATCTCTCACACATTTGTCTACGTGTGCATGTGCGTAATGTGCCGAGAAGAGGAACGTAAAATCAGTAAAATGTAAAGTAAAATCAAATATTTATATTTCCATTACACGAACTAATGTACTCAACTGATCATCATGAGATTATGCGCGTAATACATGACTCATCCGCTGGAACAGACGAGAAAATAGTAAATTGAAGTCGGCGTTGCTATTACGTTGCTGTTGTATGAAACGCATACGATTGGAAATAATGTCCTCTTTGTTTTCTTTTTCGCATTTTTCTTGACTTTTTAAAAATTCGTTATCCAGAGACTAATTATACCCTTCTTGTAATTTTTCAACTGTATTAATTTAATCTAATTAATTAATGTGTCGTAATCATTTCTTGTAAAATATTTTCTTAAATTGAATTAAAATTTTGTTTAAGTATATTTCTTCTTTTATATTTCTGTCTTATAATATATTCTCTATTTGTTTTTAAATGAAATTGTGTCTCTTCATGTGTTTTATATGTACAGAACTATTAATATAATATATAATTCTATTTTAAAATATTATTTTCATATTATACATTTAATTATTTCTGATTATTTTTAATAATTAATTATTACAACGCAGTTTCTCTGCAATACGTCGCGACAACTGAGTGCTAATTCTATGTACGGGGACAATCCATAACTCAAACTTTTCCTTTTGTCCCCGAAAGCTATTGATGTTTGTTGTGAAATATTCACCTTAGCTATAGGTCAAGTTACAACGCACAACCATTTACTCGAAACGTGAAATCGTACATAACATTCCGAGGTCATCATAATATTACACGAGTAAATTACTACATGAATATAAATTGTCGTACATATATTACACGTTATATTCACTAAGTTTAAAATATAACAGAAAACTCGTTAATTACGTTCACTGATATCTATTAAATTAAATTAACGTAAAATGCTAGTTTATTCACAGTAACTCGATCACATATTAAAAGATGTAACGCAAAATAACATTGTAATAAAAAATAATGCAATATAGCATTGTTAGTTACATTTTCTTTTAATATAAATTACTTTATAAATACTTGTATATTGGTTCAGCAAATGTATTATTTTACATTATATAAATTTAAAAATCAAATTTAAATTTCAATATTTTATCAATTTTAACATTTTCTTATTATATTATATTTTATTTTATATGATAAACACTTACATTTCTGTAACTTGCTTCTGTAAATAACTTCTGTAGATAACTGAGGAGAATTTCTTGAAAGCCAGCTGTATATGACCGATTTGCACGAAACGCCGGCTAAGACTGTCGTTATATTTGTGTGAAAACCGGTAAGTGTCGGGGGAACGTCATTAAGTGGGGAGATCGAAGCAGTAACGTATCAAATGTCTTCCTTCAAAAGAAATTATTTTATATTTGTTTCATTTAGAAAGAGAAATTTTATTTTAAATTTACGATAAATAGAATCAATGAAAAATAAATTATTTTTAAATTATTCAATATCCTTTGTACCGTGTAGGCGTTACGATCTCAATTGTTTAACAAATTATTTTATTATTAATAGAATAAAAACTTGATTTCATTATAAAAATTTTAGGGATTAAAAGTTTTTCGATTCATATATTATGTGCATCTTTTTTAATATCTTATATGCTTAATTTAAATATAATCTGGAAAAATATTTGACATTTTTAGTAATAAAGCAATAAAAATAATTTCTTAATTAATGTCTAAATTTTACAATGCTTCTTTTAATGAGAAAACTCGTTTTTGGAAGATTATTTTTATCTCTTATATTCAAACACTTACTCTCTTCTTGTATTTTATATTACGCATTGCTACATTATGTTACAATTATTTGTTCGGTTTCATCATGCGATAGTTTATCTGACGCATCCTCGTTGACGTTTGGGTCTATGTAACATGAGTACGTCTATGGTTCCATTTATGCTTCTGCGCAGTGAGAAAAAGAGACTTCTGGCTACGTCCGTGACGTGGCGGTCACACACTTGTACTGTACTCTCTTGTTATAAATACACGTGGAAAGCGAATGACTAGTCCACGAAGTTTGACCCTACGAAGAATGATCATTGGAAATGACGATGATGCCGTTAAATGAATCTGACGCAATTTTTTAATATTGCTTCGAGATATTTGTATTGTCATGCTTGCCCCACTCCTATCGCTTTATTGTTAATTAGCTTCATTAGCTCAAGAAATTCTATCGTACGCGATAACATATATCCGAGAAATATGGAGAATTATGATAATTCATTGTTAATAAGGAATCGTTATAACGAGCATAAATACAGTGACGATTATTTCGATAAGATCTATTGTTCATTCTTAATGTTCTAAATAAAAAGCAGAAATAAATTGACTCCTCTTCTCTTTATTACGTTTTCAATAATGTACAGAAATAAGGAAGACAGTGAAAAGTGAAGTAATTTCTATTCAATGTTGAATTTATTATTCCCAAGCTCAAATTTCTTAAAGTTATAATAATAAACGAATTTTCTATTATAAGATAGTATAATTTAAATAGAGATAATAAAACATTATTGAATTTTTATCTACACATTTGAAAGTTTTGTTGCAACAGTGGGCTAATCCACATTTTGTAGAAGCGAAGAAAACTCTAAAGTCAAAGCGATGAGAAAATACTTTTATTTCTACCAAAATCACATATTCAGCTATATAAGTTAGCCCATTACTGAATCAAGCCTTTCATCAATTAGATTAGTGTAAGTATTAATTAAATATACAAAATATAAATGTTTATTGCAATTGTATTTATTATTACATTTGTTATATATTTATTCTGTATACAAAATATATATCAATATTTCATTTTAAAAGGGAAACAATATCCTTATTGTATCAATAATAATATGTGAAAATTTCTAATGCGATAATTAAAAGAATATTACGTATAGTTCGAAGGATCTCGTATAATGCTCCGAATCTTCAAACGGAGCACTTGTATTTTTATATGTATATCATATATACAACATGTATTACATATACAAATATAAAACTGTGTAACATATAGGAAATGATATTTATACATAAAACTGAGATCTAATAATTTTATTTTCAGTCTCATATTTTTCAATTATCTCATTGAAATATGCAAAACTGAGTTATATAAAAAATATACATATATTTTTAAATATAAAAAAAATTATAGCAATTATATTGTTTACAGACTATTATTTTATTAGTTTATTTTATTTCAGCTATACATTTGTGGTAAGAATATCTGAAATTTATTGCATTCGTATTTTTGTTTTTACTCTTATTTTCACACACTTGTGGATATTATACAAAATATATAAATATAAAATATCTTATTTATACACTATATATTCTACATCTCGTTCTCGGTTTTTTTTTAAATATTTTGTATTTAGCGAATAACAAAGGAATGTTCATATATTAGCACTTCACTGATGCAAAATATTTTCGCACGTCGATTGTTTCTTTCGGAATGAGCCATGAGGAATTAGCACGTGTGACCGCAATAATTCGATTCTTAATGATATTCACAAAGTCACCGCAAATAACAATTATATATGCACAATTATTAAAAATAAATATATAAACAGTTATTTCCAGATGATAAATATAAATGACATTTATTTCGATGGTTTAAATGACCATATGTGGGGAAATTTCGTGAAAAATAGAATGGAAGCAGCATTTTTACTCGTTCTTTTCCTTTTCGTCGTGCGGCTCTTCTTTTTTCTCGCCATTAGCATGTGGCTTTTCATTGATATTAGATTGATGTATAACCTTCGTGACTCCAAGGAACTCGACTAAACTGTTGACATAAGCTTTCAATAAACCTTCCTTCTTGATGGTATTCAGGTGGCTTATTATGTTTAGATATAAACGTCGAGCAGCTTTATTGGACAGGTGACCGACGGTTTGTAAAGTATGTAGCAGCTTGTCCTCCTCAACTGGGTTGATATCTGCAAAATAAAATGTTTATAGTTAAAATAATATATTAAGAAATTCAAATCTGTACTAAAAAAGTAAAGATTGAAAAGAGTTTATATTCCAAAAAAAAAATTAGATAACCGTATCTTTACATACTTAGAGATAAATCTGCATAGTTATTTCATATTGATCCAAATTTTATTTAACTAATAATGTAAGTACAAATATATTTTATAAAATGTAAAAAAAAATATATGTAAAAATTAATTACTTATTAAATTCTTAACCTGATAAATATTTTATTGCAAAACATTAATAATTCTAATGTTTTTTTATTTATATGTATAATTAGGAAAAGTTTTAATCAACTTTTACATAAAATCTATATTATTTATAAAGCAAAAAACAAGTTGGATATTAAAAAGGAAATAAATTTTAATAATAATAGAAGAAGGAAAACAGTAATTTAATGGCTATTATTACGACGATAAATTCTTATTGTCATGTTAGCTACTTTCACTAACTTTCTCGTTGCCTCGTAACACTGTCGGCTTTCATTACGCCGTGAGAGTTACTTTTGCTTAGAATATTCTAACGTTTTAAAAAAGAAAAGAATTTAATTAATTTATACTTTTTGCAGTCTATTATTCAGTCATCTAAATATATTTTAATTACTTCAATAAGATGTCAAGAAATTATAAGAAAAATATATATGCCTTACCTATCGGTTGTTCTTCTCCTGTTGCGGGGAAATATCTGTCAATGAGCTTATCAACGACACCGGCCGTGTTATCTATGCCTCTTACGGCCACACTGCCATAGCGCGTATCGAGTATTTGATTGGCCGTATTCCAGCTGATGTCTCGCAAATTCGCCGCTTGTTCAAGAATTAAATCGTTTACATGCGAAATTCTTAATACCGCCTTCTCATAAATCTGCAAAAGAGTACATATCCAATATATTAATGTATTTACTTTTTTACTTTCCACTTTTAATTAATTAAGAAACAATACGAAAAAGAATGTGTTTCAATGAAATTAAAATGTTTATTAAATTTATAATTATACGATAGAAAAAAATCTCTATTACAAACCTGTGCGGGTTTCTCCTTCACCAGCGGCACTTTTTCTTCGATTTTATCGAGACCAAAGCATAACGTGTTATCGACGAAATTGATGGGGCTCTCGAGTCTTTTTGCGATGGGCACGGCGATGGGCATCGCTTGTCTCGTCGCGGTGCTTATGGACGACTCGGCGGTACTCAGAGCCCAATGCACCAACTGATTCGAACTCTTCACCCTGGAATACGTCTCTGCGGATTTGACGAGCGCTAACTCAACGATAGGTAATTCCATTACGCGCTCGAAGACCTTCAGATGGGGAAGTTGCGCCACCTCCGTCGCCATGGTTCCACACAAGTTTATCACGCGTACGCCGAAAATATAATATCTGTCCAAATAAAAGCACACTTTTGTAAGAGCGATTTATAAACTTATTACAGAAATTTCGATGAAAATGTATTGTATTAAAATACTTAAACACATAAAATTAAAAATATACTTAAAGATTAAAAATGTACTTAAATACATGCACAAAAGAATGACAAATCATTTTGGAGCAAAATGACTATGCTTGATACATTTTTACTATTACTGAAAACAATTATTCGTAGCCTTACGACACATTTAATGATAAATACATAATGAATCTTTATGTATAACTTTTTAGAATTTCTCAATAAAAATGTTTCTCACAACTATTCTTTTGTATTTTATATAATATTAAATCAAATTTTAAACGATCAATTTATCAAGGCGCTCTACGCAAATGCTGAAAAAGAAACTCTGGAAATCGTCTTTCGTGACGATAAATGAGGATGTAAATAGCAATATCTCGAAATACTGGTATCATAATATTTTCGAGTTCGGCAAAGTCCTTGAGTCGATACAACATTAGACATATTTACGAAAATTGTCGAATTATTTAATTATTTTCGTTCGTCGTCAAATAATCGTGATATTATTTTAATAATTTTAATACATAGTTTATCACGCTTAAAAATCGAAAACTCGTAAGAAAACGAGATACGATAAAATTTTTAACTGGATAAATTGCGCAACTCCAAAATTAAATAAATCATTTAGAAAATTTAACGATAACTTTGTACAATGTGCTATACAACGATGCAACTTTTTATAAGTAACGCAAGTATTCTCGACGTTGCGCAAGTTCATGTAACAACAGGAAAATTGTGAAAGAACTACTTTCGTAATTTTCAATTTAACATTTTCGTAGATATAACATTTCACTGCAAAACGAAGTTTCGCACCGTTTTGTAACAAGACATTCGGAGAAATGAAACTTCGACAGAGGATTAAAAACACTATTTTGCAAAATATAGTACTCACAGTCTCGGATTAACCGTCGAGCAGTAGGTAGTTCTTCGCCGGCGTGACTCTCGAACGCGTCTGATACCTCGGCACGAATGCGAATGCTACTGACTCCCGTCACGCACGTTGAACACTTATAACGTGGAGAATCGCCTGCGCAATGGACGCAGTTTGAATAAGCCAATACTGTGGACTGACCGAAGTACGACATCTGTCAACTACACAGTCATTAGATATGAAAATTCTCACGGTCAAATTCTTAGGTATTTGCTGCTCATTTGTTTTCCCACAAGCAAAATTGTTTTTTAATCCAATCTGAATCTAACGAATAGAAAACTGTATTTATTCCGTAATTTAATATATCATTGATATTTTTTAATTGTAACATTATTAAAATATTTTTTCTTTTTTATACACAAATTTTAATTTTTATTATTCTTCTTATTAAATTAAATATCATCAAGTAAATATGATATTTTAAATAAAAAATAATATAAAATAATATAGACATTACCTTCACTTTTAAATAGAGATCTTTTAATTATCTATTATACATACAATATTCACTTTCGAGCGCATTTCACGCAGTTACATCCGACCGTGGCTAGATAATGCATTATTCTTTTCAAAAAAAGCAGAATGCGTAACACACGCGAAGGTCAATCCCCTAGAATAACGTACTATTGAAAATGAAAATGTATAAATGCTTTTCTTCTTCAGGTCTATTGGTATGTACTCCATATACAATATTTTTATCAGTTAATTTAAATAAACCCGAGTAAAAGACTTTTCTAATTATAGAAAAAATGTATATTAATTTATATATAAGCCATATAGTATTAAATAATATGAAATAATTTTTGAGTCTCTAAATCTGAAACAATTTAAAGAAAACATTATAATTTTCTTTTACTGCTTTCTCATGCTTCTTCTTACTATAGGGAAACATATTTTTCATAAATATGCAATGTTTCTAGCACAGTACTGCTAGATAATAAGGGGACATTGTCACTCACTGTCTTTTTCCATAATCATGTCCCCTCAGTACAAAGTCCATTCCATCTTCGTCAGATAGATAATTCAGTCTGTGTTATTATCGCTGTGAGATTGTCGTATAGGCAGACAGAAATGATTTAAAAATTATCAGAAGAATCCATGCACATCCGGGTTCCAAAAAAATATCTTAATATAAAAATTCTTTAAACCGTAAATCTTTAGAATTAATTATTTACGTAAAGCGTCAAATTTTTTTTCTGTTACTGAATGGTAAATAAATTATGCGATATGAGAAATTTTATTATTGTAAATGTAGTATTTATATATTTTTATTAATTATTTGATCAACAATAATTGTGTGTGATGTTTTATAATTGAAAATGGCTAGGAAATAAAAATTTAAGAACTAGAAGTGAAAATTCACATATTATTTTTAAGATACTATTTCTTTTTTTTTACTTTTAAATAATAATATTATAAAATAATAATTATTAGAGAAGTTCTTTAGAATTTGCTCAAGTAATAAATAATATATAATAATTTGTTATTATGCTCTAATTATCTTACATTATAATAATTTAACATAGAAAAATAATTAGACGTAATAACTAAAAATTGTAACCTTTGATGCTGATTATGAATAAAATTTATCTGGATTGCCAGTTCAAGGTTAAACTATATAATTATCATTATGATTTCATAATAAGAAACGATTTGAAGTTGTTTTATATCTACTCGATTAAACTCCATAGTCCGTAGACATATACACATACAAACATATTAATTCATCTAGACAGTGCGATTTGTAGATAAACCTTATCACGCGGTACATGAAGTACTGCGTGAACATCAAATAAAAGTGATATGTCTCATTCTGACCTCAATCGTTTAAATCGTTCTTTCGAGAATTTCTGCGTTGTGATCATAGTCCAAAACATTATATGTTAAACTATTTAAAAAAGTATTAGCAATACACAAAGCATTATTTAAGTTTTTATAGCATACTAAAAAATCTTCAAACATAACATGTTTATACATACAAAAAATGTGTATAAAAGTTTTTTATTATAAAAAGTATATTATAATATAAAAGAAATTATTATAATAATTAAATATAAATTGCATTATTATTCTGCTATAATATTGGATACACACACACACACATATATATATACATATATATGAAGAATATCATACAATTATGCATACAATTATGCAGTCTATTAATATTGATACAAAATTATTAATTAAAAATTATGAATGAGATTTAGCAAAAAATATAATAATAAAATTATATGTACTAATTAATGTATAATATGTAGTTATTAAATTTATAATTAATATACATTATTATATTACTTTCAATATTATAATAGTATTTAATAAAAAACATTTAACATCTGCATTTGATGGATACTGACGTATGTCGAAAATGTGCATTTCAGCTTGCTTGCTTTGAGAACATAGGAAGATAGATTTAAAAATTCTGTAACTACCTGAGGATTTCTCCGCTTTCACTATTGAAAGAAATCTGAAGAGAGCGTAGCGTTGACGGGATGTTAGTCTGTGATGTCTCACGATGTTTTCATTTGGGTATCAAAGTTCACGATTAAACGTTTTAAATGCTGCGCAATAGGTAATCGATCTGATTTATCTGATTTATAATACACGTTCAATAATATAATACATATTTATTTAATGTGATTGCAAAATTGTGTAAAAAATAAAAGATATTTACAATAGCAAATAAAAATGCAGAAATATAAACTAAATTCTAAAAAATATTATTATTAGATTAAAAATTATTTAATTAATTGCATTTAATTGAGTTTTTATCTATTAAATACATGTATCGTTATTTTAAATGCTTAAAAGGATAAAATATAAGGGAAAAAAATAAGCTCAAATTCGCGTGACGTCGGAATTAAGACGGCCCTTTATTTCTTCACTTACATTTAATTATCGTAAGAGCAATAGATTTTTGACTAACGACTAACTTGAAAAGCACAAAATGAGTATGGGCACGGGTACACTGTGCCATTGATAAAATATATTCTGTTGTATTACGTATTGTATCACGAATACAAAATCATAAAAGGTAATGATGTAATCGCGGTCGATGAAATGTTATGTTAATCAATGAGCGGCGGCTCGATGCGATTTCTATCCTCTCGTGTCTTTGACCTTGTAATTGAAAACCATACCAGAAGGGGAAAGAAACCCGCACGTAGCAGTTTTCAGGCGAGACTCGTTTGTTACTCGATACCATTTATTGGAGGATTGGAAGTCACCGACATGTGATTGTTGTAGTTCTGCTCGCGGTTTCGCATGCGTGGTACCTTTTGAGGGCTAGGGCGACCAGCCAAGAACGCAGCGAATTTTTCCTACAAGAAATTTACTATTGTATACATTGCGATAACAAAATATTTAATTTAAGATTTTTTGATGGCTGATTTGCCAATGTAAGATGATAAAAATAAAACTTGGATTTACAATAATATAAGTATTTTTATAAGCTTTTTATATTTCTCTTTAAATAACATATCAATAACGTCGAATAATTATACTATGAGATAGATAAGCATACTTACCAATAGCAGATTCGTAGTCGCACTCAACCTTTCAATACCAGAGCGTATAATAGACATTTGTTCTTTTACCGCATTGCTCTTACCTATAAGTGGTGTCATCTGAAAAATAATATACACACACACACACACGTTATAAAACTATTATTAAAATATAATGTAAAAACTTTTACTTAAGCTGTATTATTAAAAAATAAGCATTGATTGAAGTTATATAAAAATAATATTTTATTATCCGCGTGTCCTGTTCACACAAGTGAACATTTTAAGATCACTTTTCTTAATTTGATCAATGCGATGCGGTCGAGAGAAAGTACCTCTCAATAATTTCTACTATGTCTGCATTGAAAATATCGTTCGCTTAATATTGATTAAGTTACATAAATATGCCGATTCAAGCCGGATTAGTGAAGTTCATGTAACCTGTAATGAGGCGTCCGCGACGGCAAGTAATTGATGAGAAAGCCGGACAAGTAGATGACCTAAACGTCGCGGGGTCCTAGCCGCCAATGCCGCCGTGCCGTTCACAAGATGGACTATGCGCCGTGCGGATTCGCGCGTCAAGAGCACGAGCAGCTGTTCGAGTGTATCAGGACGCGCCTGATTTTCAGGCTCCGGTAGGCTCAACGTGGCCCACAGCGTCTTTGCTTTCTCCATCGCTAATTTTGGATCAGTAGCTATCTGCGCATACATTAAAAATCGTTGCTCGTTATACATATTCCTGTATGTACATCTCGTATCGCGTTGAACAGATTTGGAAATAGGTATACGTGATCATACCGAGATCACGAGAAGACTCAGTGATCATCGCGTTATAAATATTTGTTTCGAGATTTAACATCTGGGTCTTTTTCCGCCAGTCTTCGTAAATATTTATCATGCGAGAATCATTAAACACTCTCGTGATCGAGATCACGCATCTATCACCGCTTACACTCGAAGCTTTCTTGCCGAATTCGCATTTTGCAGAAAAAGTTATTTCTGAATTTCAAGATATACAGATATAAAAAGATGTAAATAGTACAGTTTGAATATTCTGATATCTGTTCCATTATACTTTGTTAAAACATAAATTTTTATATTCCATGTATCACTGTGATTTATATTAAAATGAAAATGATAAATTTTTCTAGAATTTTCCAAAAAGATCATGTCATAGGAAAATTTGCACGATATGCAAGCACGAATGCAAGTGCTGCTTTCCAAGAAGAATATCAAGTAACACATCATAAAATGTTATTATTTTTTCGGGCATAGAGTATAAAAAAGATATCTTATTCAGCGTTTAGCTTCGATGGTAATATTCCTTTGTGTCAGCGAATATTTTGCACAAACATCTTTCTAATCACAGTTGTAGCAGATATTATTACCAAAATAACTATTAAAAAATAAAAATGTATCTAAGTGTACATTATATATGTGTGTGCAATTTAACGCATCAAAAGCTAAATAATTTCGCCACAATATAACGCGACATATAAGTCATCGAAACGTACACTTGTAACTATATAAATTTAACTGAGCATGTTGACACACGATTGATAAATGATAAATTGATTAAATATCGAGCCTTACCAATTCGACGACATATAGAAGAACGTGGATGCACTCCGTTCCTTGCTCTTTGAGCGCGCGCGCCTCGGCTAAAGTGCGTCGCGTCAATCTTTTTTGTAGTTTTCGTGAGAACCTTGCGCCGTGTTTGATAGTCCGTGTCGTTTTGCTTGTGCTTTCAGTAGAATTGCTCTCTGAAACACGTATTGTCAAACGTTTGACATTTACCGCTCGTTAATGTCGCACGCAGCGACACAGCGTTTCATATATAAAACACAACATTAAACATGTATTATATATATATTACATTATTCTTATTTTTGCGTACTGTTCAATTCTATGCATCGTAATTAAATAATGTACATTATACATACGCGAAATTTCAAAGAATTTTGCAAATCTGAATATTAAATATATTTAATTATTAATTAAATATATTATCGAATTTACCATCTTTATCAGTTGGATCTCCTGGCAAGTAATGATCCACGTACTTATCCGCAATTGTCAATGCATCATCCAATCTATCAGCGGCGACGTTGGCAGCTTGGTTACTGATTTGCGTGACACTTCCGGCGCGCATTAGGACCGGTTTCACAATTTTCTTATTTACATAGTCTCGCGTATTCAAATACATCTATGTACGTGAAATAAAACTTGACTTATATGCGATGATACAATTAAGATTAATCTATTTACTCGGGACAGTTAATTGTTTTAACTAATTTCCGCAAGATCCATTTTTTTTGTTCAAATTGTATTTATAGTACTAATAGGAAATAAATTTTACATATAATCACATATAACAATATACTGATATGTAACTATAATTATATATACTGCTTTATATACATTTGTAAGGATATGCATATCTTCACATACATTTCCACATATTGTTCTGCAGAAAAGATTTGTAAACTTACAAGATGAGGGGGAAGATGCACTGCCGGTACTCTCTGCTCAACGATGTCGATACCTTTACACAGTAGCTGATCGATCGTCGTAATTGGCCCATTTAGTGCAAAAATTGCTGGTCTTGCTGTCGCCGTAGCGATCGCTAATGATTGCTCCGCCGTATCCAAACTCCAGTTCATTAAAGAATTCGAACGCTAAAGAGAGAAACAATTGATTAAAAAATTGATTAAATATAAAAAAAGAAACGGTTAAATTATTATTAAATTAACTTGAAAATAGGATTATTCTGTATTGTTTACATTTATACTTTTTATTATTGTCATTTCAGAAGATTTCTGCGACTGTCTAGAGAGATTTTATTTAAATTTTTGAAGGCAAGATTTACCAGTTTTCTAATGGCACAATGAGCGACATTTTATATCGTGCTATATATGCGTATAATATAGCTTGTAATTATACCTTTATTTTTCTATACACATTACCAGCGATATGTATACCGCTTTCTACAATGGGAAGACTCGAGATCCTAGCCACAGATTCAAAATGCGGCAAATCCGAGTGCCGCCTTCTCACATTTGCTCGCGCCATATGGAGAATAGTCGCTGCAATTGACAATTATAATTAATGCTGAACTGCGAAATAGAGTCAGAGGAAATTATTAACGCAATAATAATATTAAATCGGTACTTTAATCTGTGTGCATATTTTAATATCATAATTATCACATTTTTACGATTGCCAAATATTCATAAAAAGTGCTTTTTAGGAATTTTTTTCTAGGAAAACTAAATTTCTTTCATTTTGACTATCTTCCGTGCATCTCTTCTTAAAAGGAAAAAAATGCTTTAATCTGCATGCATTTAATTAAAAAAAAAAATACTTAAATTAAAAATTTATAAAATTATATACACTGAGAAAATAACTTGAACATACAACGATTAGTCAACGTACATATTTAGATTTCTTCGAAACACGTTTATTCGCAGCTCATTTTTGCAATACATTTTTTATATCATCTATCATGCGATGTTAGAATGTAAGCAATTGCGTCGTACAACTAATTAATATGTTAAATACTTTTTTTCCATATAAAACAGCATATATACTATTTGAAATAATCTACGCGTTCGCTTCGGTGAAGTAATCTTTCTCTCTCTTTCTCGCCTTTAATTCAAAAAAGTAAAATCGCATATTTGCGGACAAGTGGCCCCCTTCCCTTTCAATTGCGACTAATAAAGAGTAGATTATCGATAGGACACCGCGGAAAAAAAACACGTGTTTTCTTCGCTAAACGTAAACGGCGCCATATGTCACTCAAAAGAAACGACTCGTTCAGCATCCGCTCGGTGAACCGATAAGCGAGGTCATACCGGGAGGGGACGCTGGCAAAGATTTTGCTTCGTGGTTAATGTCGAGGCTATACGCGTCTCCTTCGAGCGAGCATCAAGTAATCTTCTTTCAACCGGATAAAATATGAGATTCGAGGCGCGATTCGCGCCGATATAGCGATAGGGATGAGCGCGCGCGCGCGAGGAAATTCATTAAACTCTCGACGCTGCGATTTCAGTCAAAGCTCTCGGCGGGACTTTCACCTGCAGTTCACTGATGATGCTGTAAATGACAATCGGGCTGAGGAGGAAACTCCCTGCGGTGAAATCTCCCTACGAGCGATTACGCCGGCGCGGCGGATATACTTTCTCGCTAGAGGTCAAACTTTCCTCGTGTGCACGTAAGCAGCGTCGCGTCTGCATCTCATAACCGTTTGCCAGATTCTGTCTATTGACGTGTCTATTACGTCTCATTTTAAATAATACCTGTGATTAGAGCAACAATCTCTCACCTATTTAATGATACTTAATTTGGTGCCCGTTACTTATCTTCCTCGGGCTCTATTGCGTCTCCGATTAAAAAGTCGATTCTAATCTCTTTGATCTGTCGCGCGCAACTACAAATGATCGTATCCGTTCTGCGTCAAAACGGTGTTTAGCCAGACTCAACGCGAAAAAAATCGATTCGCGGGTTACTCACATTCTTTATCTCTCGCTCTTTCTTTCTTTTCCCTCGCACTTCAAGTCAATCACTACTGAATGCTGATTTCGCACACGGATCGCATTACCCCTTCCTCTTTTTTACAACGCTCTCGGTTTAACTCTGTGCAATCAGCTATATACAATCACACTCAGATACACAACATATACGCACATACACATGCTCGCGCAAGTATAAATATGCACGCATGTACGAATACACGCGTATTGTACACCAATCCGGAATAGATCCGAATCGGTGGAGATCGGAAGATCGGTAAAGTTACACGTTTTCGGGGGACTCTCTTACCTGAGAGCAAAGGCGAGCTGCGAAGCGGCGGAAATGCTGCCTGCGGATTCTCTTATATATGGATATCCGTGTAACCGGGCCAATCGCGTCCGAATCCGGCGGCCGGATGAGACGGCAGAAAACTCGGCGTTTCGACCAAAGAACGCGCCGTTGACTGCACGACGGAGACTGCAAATGGATATCTCATCGGTTTGACCTATGACACATCGATTATATACGGACGCGGCGGACGTAATGACGCACGAATAAAAATCTTTTCCTAGCTTCTCTGCCGTCTCTCTGTGCATCGGGAAAAAAACGTAGACACTGAGTCAATTTCGCATGCGACAAATGTGGAACGCATTTGCAGATAGGATGGGTAGGTGATAGTTGGTAGCGGAATTTTGATTCTATATGTTAATATTTCTTCGAAAGGAGATGTAATCACTCATGGCTGCTTGGAATTCATGCTTTAAATGCTCCCCTTTCCTTCAAAATTCTTACCTCGTTCACAATTGTAAGTGTAATAATTATGAAGCTGCAAGAACATTTATTTTATTTTTATCAGAACGGTTGTAACAGTTTCATTGGCCCTCCGAGTTCTTCCGAGCTATATTTAAATTATTATTGTCCACCTTATCAATCAAACGTTGCGGCATACATTACTGAGAACGATATTTGAGGTATCAATCAACGATACCTTCAAATGAATTTTTAAACAATTTTTCAACCTGACTTTTTTATAATGTAATTTAGAAAATTACATTTATGTGTGAATGTATAATAAATGCAATTTAATAATTGCCGTTTGTCTTATTCTATAGAATTATATCGTGTGAATTAAGCTTCGTACGTCGGATGAATATAAGAGATCATGGATTATTGCTCCAAGACGACTAGACAGTTCGTGAAAATGTATCGAGTAAAAAGAAAACTATGAAAAACTCGAAATTATCTCGGGCAGACGCTCTTAATTGCCATGCAAAGTCCACTTCGCAATTCTGTCTTTACAAAGATGAATATGTCCGTGTTATAAATTAATTTTTTGCTAATTTGTACTTATCTCGTCTGTCTACTGGCCCTGATTCTACTTATCTTTGAAGAAATTGTTCTTGTCTAATCTAATTCTACTTATTCTATTTTCCTTCCTATCCTTCCTGTCCTTCCTATTTATAAAAAAAGCTGTGTTAAATCGATATAGTCGAATTTATTGTTGCCTTTTTCCCGTGATATCTATTAATAACTTATAAATATAAATGAATATTATATATACACATAGTATTATTACTATAACTACATATGCATGTAGATGCAAAAAAAGAAATAAGAAACTGGTGTAGTTAGAAATATTGCATAATCGTGAGACTTTAGAAGGTCGAATTAATAGACCAACTACTTTATTGCTCGTTGAGAATAAAGTGTATCGCTAGATTCAACAAACACTAACTAACGTCAATTAGAAAATCGTTGGTACTCATCCTTAGAAAGGTCGAGATAGCTTTTTATTGAGCGAAAATTGCATATATTAATGGATTAATATTTTTATTACAAAATGTTCGATATTTTTAGCAGCACATGTATGAAATTGTGTATTTTTTCAATTTCTTAAAAGAATAATAGATTTTTGTCAGACAATTATTTAGCATACAGAAATAGTTCTCCTTCTTGAGCAAATTTTTAAGAAAAAGATATAGCATGTGTAAAATATAAAAGGAAAATATCAAGTAACATTTGCTATAACATTGCTGAGTATCGGATTCTATAACTTTAGTACTTTATTTAACAAAAAATGAAAAAATGAAGCTTTTAATCATTAAAATGTTCCGTGGATATTATTATATATAAATAATAAATCTACATATTTTGTACATGACAAAATGGCTATATTTCTGATAATTAAAGAAATATCCACCTGATAATCAGATAAAGCCGCTCAAAATAAAAATTGCTTCATTTGATTGAGAATTCAACACAGTTGTATATTGCGATACTTAATTCAATGTAATATACAAAAAATAAAAAAGAGGCAGTGATTTGTCACATGTGACATTTTTGCTCGATTTGTACACAAGTATGAGAGGATGATAAATGTATCTACATATTTTAATGGATTGAAAATATTCAGCATTCACATTAAAGAGTGTCAAAGAAGCAGAGAGAAATCTGAGAGTGGACGTGCGTCGCGTTTCAGATGAAACTAAATCTGTTTAGTGGCGCCTCATATATATGCACAAAATGTGCACATTGAACTATGTAGGTTACGGATATTTCCGGCGGGTAACAATTACGATCTTTGATTTTAATCCATATTATTAATACAGTTGCCTAACATTGTTCTATTCGTTATGTTTGCAAAATATAATTATCTAACAATGCATTTTATAAAAATTATAACTAAAGAGTAAAATAATTTAAGCCTAAAAATATATTAAACATTTAAAAAAGCGTCGAGAATATACATATTTTAATAAACGTTTCTATATAAAACATATATTAAGAAAATATGTGGAAATGATTAAATCTAATGCCACTTCTTAGCTATTTATTACAAAAAGATGTACAAGTAAATTTAATTTTTTAGGTTGTTTCGTTTCGAACAAATATAATTACGATAAAAATCTCGATTAAATTTCAAATATTTTACATAATTTTTACATAATCTATATATTGTCAATTTAACAATTTGTAAACAAGTTTAAATCTGTGAGAACCGAGCTTTATAAGATATAAGCAAATATAGTATAAAGCATATGAAATACTTAACATAATACTTAATAAAATAAAATATATTAATATTTCCTTTTAATATATTATGTCATATAAAATAATCATAATGAAGAATAGCAACTTGTTTCTTGACAATAGAAATCATACATATCAAATACATTTTATACTTACCTCTTAAACTTTCTCATTGCTTTCAAAGTAGTGTGAAGAGTTGATATATTATCTTCTTAAAAAAATATTTTAATGCATTTAATGGATGTATTTAGCAAGCTGAAATAAGATTCAAGAAGAACTTAAAATTTCTGACCAACAGAAAATTTGTTAAATTAATATAGTAATAGTTGTATTACAGAGTAAAAGCGTTATAAAATTTCATTTTTTTAATACAAATTATTAAAGTAAATTGAATGCAACCATAGTAGTTTCAATTTTTCAGGAAAAAGTCTTTTTGCAAATAGTGATATAGAATATGTATTAAAACACTTTCACTTATATTGATCTGCCAATCGTTAAAAGTATATAAGTTAATACAACATGTTAATAAGCATTTGACATGCAATTTGCTAATAATAACAAATTAATATATATATTGTATTTTGTAGTAGTAAATTATTCTCTTTTTCAAATTGCAATATTTTTTCACTAGCTATCAAATTCTAGCTATAAACTACGTGACGCTACAAATACAAATCATGAGCTCACGGATACTCCTGCCAGCATATCGAACAAACGATTCGAAGAGAAACAATGCTATTGGATTGCAGTAGAGGCACTTTAATGCGATTTTCACGAACGTAAGTGCGTACGACGACACGATTGCTATGCCGACAGTTTCATCCTGCTCAACACAGGTTTGTAAAGTACTTGTCCTTTTATTACAAAGTGACGTGGATCCGCATATCGAAACGCGAGGCATAAGGGGACTCTCTGGGGGTTTTACTCTTTTATGTATATAATTATTTATATCATCAATTATAATGAATATATAGTTATGTACAATATTGAATCTCATTCTTTAACAATAACATCAACAACATGATTAAACAACGTTCCTCATTGGTACACAAATTGTAAATGTACAGATAAAAAAGCAGATGAGGTCAATGAGGTGGCGTACGCTCAGCGCGCCATTAATTCCCTCTTCTTTTTTTTACATTTTTTTTTAAATCCCCATATATATATATACTTATATCTTGAACCGCTTCGGGTTCTTTGTTCGATTTTTCATGAGCTTATATATATATATATATGTATATGTATATACTTCAAAGTATATACTTCGTTTAGATACACACGTTCCACATACACACAAATGCGTCAGATTTGCTCCGCGCGACGCAACGAGAACATGACAGTTGATGATATCGATTGAATCGGTGCGTGATTTAATTTTTAAAGAGAGTGCATGAGCGATTCGCGTCGCGCGACCGGCTAGCCATAAGTCTCTTGCATAATCTGCAAATTTTTGCCTAATAATATAATTACTTCATTACTTTTAAAATAACAACGCAAGAACTCTATCGCGCGGAAATTGTTTTCCGCGTCAATTAATCCCCGTCATAGTCTTTCATATGTTCCAAAGAGATAAAGTATAAACTATGGAAACGTTGTCGATAAATTCAACAGGCGCTGTCGCCTTTCTAATTTGCCATCTTTTCAACTCGGCTCGCCCTGCGCGACGCAAATCTCGACCAATCATCTAAAACTCTACACAAGGCTCCGACGAGTTTTCTTTTTTTTTGTCGCTTGATAAACGACTTCCACATAATCTAACGCACGAATTTGTATTATTTTCGTATAGAATCGCATTAAGGCGAGACAGAGTCGTCGAAGCTCTTCCGAAGCTATTTCCGACGCTCCTAAACGCGAAGGACTCGCTCGCATTCTCATGATTCGCCGATAAATGTTTCTTCGCCAGGAAAGAAAAAAAACACTGAACATTTCTTGAGAATAAAGCGATATGCACGAATCTGATATACGATATTTGCTAATCGAGATTTTTGTCTTACAGCTTTCTCCTAGCCGTTCTTTTCTGTTATTTAGTTCCTTTCTCCGAGGCTCCGATCTCATGGTCCCTTCAGTACAAAGAAAATAATGAATTTACGAAAATGAAGAATATTTTAACTCATCTGCATAATTCTGTCGTGAAATTTACCATACAAACAAAAAATTTTCCAAAAATTTGAAAATGGAAAACGCATAATTTGTCTTCGTACGCACTCAAAAAATGATTGTTTGCAATAAATTTGGAAATAATTTTTCTTTAATAAAACTTTGAAAAGAAATTATTATATAAAATAGTAAAATTTTAATTACGAATTAACCTATCTATTGTGCATTAAAAATTATCCGAAGCAGTTTAAATTTCAATCCTTAAAATTTAAATCATCAAACCTTTTTAATATGTAAAATTATATTTGAAAAAAGCTCTTAGCAAACTTCACTTACAATTAGTGACAGTTGAATAATATTCCTTTTTTAATTTCTTTTATACACACTGTGTACTCAATATTATATAATTCATTGAAATATTTTTATCAAATTCCCGTCTTTTTACAAAATCTAAAAAAAATTTTCTTTTACTTATTTTTAAAAGTTTCTCGTGCAGAAAAGGTATACAGCAAATATATATTAACGAATTCTTCATTCTCTTTTTCCTCTCGCAATCTCTTAGTTTATATTCTTCTGTTTCGTGCCATGATTGAACGTTCTCAATTTTCTAGTTTCGTATCGCAATTTGGCGGCTAGGAGAAAGAAGAAAGACAAGTAAAGGCGCACGGAATTTGATCGCTGCGAAAATACAATGTCTATTTATGCGAGTACAATTCCTCAAAACCTGAATTAGTTCATATCGAAAACGTAATCCTGCAATCGTCATCTTTCGATATCACGATGTTTAAGACAAATCTCAAATTTCAGCATTCCAAATAAACTTGAAATATTTTGAACATTATAAGAGATAAATTTTATACTAAGAACGCGTGTATATGATACACTTCATGATCGACTTAGTTATAAAAATATTTGCTTTATATAGATAAAATAATTCATGAAAGAAAAAAAACCGAAAAGTTTAACTGTAACCGAACTAACCAATGAAATTTACAGCCGTCGTATAAGGATCTAACAACAAATTAACAACATCTTCCTTTGACACACACTAAACATGTGCTATACAAAATTCTATGTTCTTCAAATAAAATAATAATTCTTTATCCAATAAATTTAACACATCGAAACTTCGAAAATTTCTAGCTTGTTATTTGTATCTCAGCGGTTTGTTCTTCGGCTACAATTTATGAAAAAATAAAGTATCAACTTTGCAACTAAAAGAAAAACATCTCGTTTGACGAAAATTGACACACGCTTCAAAAAGAGTTTTGCACCATTCAAATTTCTATATTTCTAAAACCGTACACGTAACCTTTGAATTCTCTAATCGAGAAGATAATCCATCAGATAAATTGATTAACAGCAAAAATTATCATTCCTTCTATCTCAGTGCATGAATGTGGCGTAACAGGTGGTGCAAAACTATATTTGGTTTGTGCTGCCAACGAAGTAATTTCACAACGTAGCTATACACAGTCCAGCGACAAAGGTCAAACATTCCTACGATGAAGATATCTTTCTCGCGCGAACCGCGAGATTTTAAGACCCTGCAGGTAAACAACAACCCTCGGGCTAGTTGCACCGACATCGTCCGGCACTGAATGCGGATAAACTAAATTCTTCTTATCTGTATTACTCAAGTGATTTTTATCATTCAAGCTTCTCTTCTTCGTCCGCGTTATCAGTGCCTGCCTGTGCAGAGAAACGATAACTCCCCGACCGGAAGTTAGTTTGTCCGGACTGTCAATGCAGCTTAGCCCTCTATGCGACCGGCGCTACGTGTCCTTTGTACTTGGGCAGGGTGCGTGTCCACTCGCGCGCCTCGCCTTGCTTATCCTTTTTTCTTTTTTTTCTCTTTTTTTTGACGCACTCGAGCTATACATAGAAAGTTATGTACAACGATATTAACATGAACTGCAGTGGCAGTGAACAGTGCACGTGGATATTGCAAACAGCAGCAGCAGCAGCAGCAGCAACAGCAGTAGCGGCGGCGGCGGCGGCGGCGACGACGACGACAATGACGAAGACGACGACGACGACGACGACGAGGACGACGACGACGACGACACGACGGCGATGACGACGACAATTATACAAGGTGTATGCGTAATACGAAACACGGCAGCGACTACCACAACTAGTTTCTTTAATCTGTCTGCTTCGTAATCCCCTGTTTTTCTCTCTCTCTTCCTACTGCTTGCTACTTCTCAGTTTGTGGGCGTCCAGGACTACGATCCTGTGGTGTTTGGAGTACGAAATTGATGTCTCGCGGCGGCCGACACATGTCGTTTATCGTCGTCACGATTTTTTTTCTCGCTTCTTTTACTTCATTCATCGCTTTTTCAGGCTCTACGTTGCCACTTTCTTTTCCGAAGAATAGTACCACAGTCTACGCGATCTCCGATCTAACTCTCAACTTGCATGTATGTGCGTGTATGTGTTATATATATATATATATATGTATATATATATATATAATATAGAGAGAGAGAGAGAGAGAGAAAGAGAGAAATATGTTTGTACATGTATATGTAAGTAATGTGAATCGAATTGTGAATTAGATTCGTATCTGTGTGATTGCGCGTACGTTATGATACCTCTATTCTCGTACGTGTGTGATTACATGTGCGTGTTTCTTTTTCATGTAATGAAAGGGACCGCGTTGCACGCGCGCACTTGTATGTACGCGCAGCAAGAGAGAGAAAGTAGAGAGAGAATGTACGAAAGACAGAAAAGTATGTATATGTGTATGCAGTGTATGAGAGAAGAGATATAGAGTATTTGTGTATAGATGTGTATCCGTGTATTTCTTTTACACATATGTATATTTTTCCTCCTTTTTTTATATATATATATATGTACGCCCGTATATATACACACGTGAGTTTCACAAAAATATATAAAAGAGAGAATATCTATGTGTATACATATATATATATGTATATATGTGCATATATACCTATAATGTATATATACCGATATATAGACGATTTATACTTAAACTTTGTGTGGAAAAGGGTATTTTATCATAGTTTTATCTATATGTATATATGTATACGTATATATATACATATATATAGAGCCTGTAGAAAGTGCTTGATTGAGATTTTTCTTTCGGTTTCGTTAAGTCGTAAAACAAGACACACGAGGTAAGGGTTGCGTGTAATAGTCCGGCACCGTCCACGAGAGCCCGACGCGAGATCGGGATGAGAGGAGTCTCTCGATGTGGGGATAACATCGGGAAATGTGTCCAAGTTCGCCGCACTCCTCCGCCTCCTCCCGTCGTCCCGTCGCCCTCTCACAGCACATTGAACGACGGTCTTCTCTCTGGGTATATATTGCGTATTATATACATTAACACGTGCCGGAGAAAAGAAGGAAACCGGAAATTTTACTGTGACGGCGATTGTTTTTCCGTTTACCACCGCGCAGGATACTGCAATTCCACAGCGCTCGTTGAGGCTAAGCCACGTGCTAAAATTTTAAGCTATATGTCCCTTCCCCCCCCCCTCCCCTCCCGTTCACTTTCCACCTTCTCAGCCGCAAAGTGGGGTCGTTAGGGGGGCTTAATAACACAGTGTTACGCTTTGCGAAATGTCTGATTCAGTCCTTTATAGCATCGTTCTCGAGCGAAGATGATTGGCTCGAATAAAGAAAGAGAGATGTGTAGCTACCCTCGGACCGCATAGCATCATGCCACTTTCCGTTGCCCCTTCCATTGTCCTCCTCTTCTCGCGTATATCTCCTCTTCATCCTTCTCGCTTCTCTTCGATAGCTTTGTTCATTAGGCTTCTTTTTCTCCGAGTCCTCATTCCGACGATCGAGCGTTCACTTCTCGACGACTCGGTGAAAACGATTTCCATGCGGGGCGAGCGAGGTAAACCGTTTTAGGAGCGATCGAATTGGCGAATAAGCGTTGCGTAATTTGCTATGCATTGTCGCTGAATGTATATCGGTCAATCGAGGGAATGGACATGGTTGCAATCCGCCTTGTGAACAATAACTCGCGATAGACTCGTTGATAATGCGCGATATCATGAGACAGTAGCGTTTGTCGACGAAGACAGGACAGCTGTAGGGACGACGGACTGCACGATGGTTTCTAACGCATGATTAGATGTAAGAATATGGTCCATCGGTGAGGGCGCTACACAGCAACAATCAGGAGGAGTCGTCCTTGCCACGGGCACCCCTGCTCGGCCTGTATTCAAGACCCGGGTCGAATTGCATCAGCACGAAAACCTGGCGAGTTAGAAATAAACTTATTGGTAAAGTGATTCGAATTATTTGTTATATAGATTGATGCGAAAGAAATTTATAATTAACAAGATTAATTAAATTATAGAGCTAACAATTACTAGTATAAATTATTTGATTTCCATATTTTTTGCTATTACTAAATCATACTAATAAAATTCGTTATAAATCTTATTAGGGAATACGTAGATATGATATTATCTAAAATATGATACCTGATCTGTGGGTAATAATGTGAAGTCATCGGGTGGATTTGTGATCACGTATCGCTTGGAAGAGGCGTCGCACGACGAGCTAGTGTCTCGAAACCTAGAAGATTCGAGTGAATGTTAGCGAATAAGAAGAGAAATAGTGAAGAACACGAGCTACTTAGATACACCAAGTGTGTAACTAAATTAATCAAAGTTGAGCTAAGTTAAGCTAAACTAAAGTATACTAAGCTAAACTAAACTAAACGTATGTGGACCGTATGACGGATAACTAAATGCTAAATAAACAACAAGATGATACAAAGATAGAAAGAGAGATAGAGATAGATAGAGAGAGAGAGAGAGAGAGAGAGAGAGAGAGAGAGAAAGAGAGAGAAAATAGTAAAAAATGATAGGTATTTTTTGGATGAGGGCAACTTACAACTCGTTGCTTTTCATTACTTTCTTTTTCATGATGCAAAAACGCAAAGTGTAAAATGTGTGCGGCAGAAAATCATAAGTCACATAGTAAATACGTGAATAGTAAGAGGTAATAAACGGCGGTACAATAATATGGCAGCAATCGGAATAGTCGCTGTTTTCAAACGGTAATATATACAAATGTATAGAAATATATGTGCGTAGGGTAATCCAATAAATACCATCGAGAGAGGGAAAAAAGTCCGGTACCTGTACCTGTACAGACCAATGCACAGCATTCCGTACGACTTTAATGCTGCGACAAAGAGGTCACCGTACTTGCCTCCCTCGCCATATTGAGCCAATGGCCCGTCGTACAACGCGATCTGACCAACACGACACCGATCCCTATTAGCCAGGCTATCTGCCGTACTGCGAATCAGACAAAATCATCACGTTTTTAACGTCGTGCAAAAAATTCTCCCGATTAACAACTGGATATTACACCGCGCGCGCGCGCGGTAATATATTTCCGATGTCTTACCTATACCCTCCCCTTAAGCCTGCCCCTTCAGCCAGGATCAATTCCAACTCAGGTGTAGCTCCACCGGTGATCAGTGACCGAATCAGAGTTAACGCATTTTGGTTGAAGTACGTCTACAGAAACACGTGAAGCTATAGCTTTCGACTTGTGGCGTCTCAAGAAACGAGAACGCTATAAATAAACTAATATATAACGCGAATAAACGAGTATACGCGAAGTGTGTGTTGACTGGTACAGTTTCGAAGACGTATTTTTAATACTAACCGTCGACATGAGGGAATCCAATACGCTGACTGCGAAGGCAGTGCCGCAGGCGAACGGTTGAGTGAGGTAGAGTTCCGTGTCTGGGTCATCGTCGTCGTCCTGGTCAAGGAACTGCACGTTGCTGTCATTCACAAGCTCTGGAATAGCAACGAAATAATCATGAGTAGAAATAAATGCGGTTATTCTCGATTCTCGATACGGAGAGATAAGTATTACTTCATAATCAAGAATTTTACAAAATATCATTATTTTTGGAAAAAAAGTCATTTCCTTTAATACCTGTAATTAAAATCTATTTCCCTAATACCTGTAATTAAAACCCATTTCCTTTAATACCTGTAATTAGAAGCTATTTCCTGTAATTAAAATGCCTAATTAATTGTAATAAGTGTTTAGCAATTTTCATTTTTATTCGAATAATATTGAACATATAGAAATGCAATCCTGAAGATTTGATAGAATCTTTTCATTACCTGTGATCATTGGCACATTTGCTCCATAAACGGATCCCCGTCGCTGCAAAACGATCGGGCTGCCAACTGCGATCAAATTACCTTGGTCATTATCTGCTGTAATTTGCACTTTCGATCTAATAGCGTGGTTTTAACGGAGAAGTTGAGATCTCCACTTCCCACGAACGACAATGATAATATATCGTACCTTGGCTAAGTACGCCGATTGTATCATCGAAAGTCATGGCCTTGATATTGAGGGATGCGAGGATGGCCTCCTTGTCGGCGAGGGTGGGGTCATCATTGCTAGGCACTTTAGCCGACAGGATGCAACACATGTCGCACAGATTCACGTTAACGGCACGCAAATCGGCTCTACTTAATGGTGAACCCTGCGAAACGTCATTCAAACAAAATAAAAACTGCAAAAAAAGAATTTCTGTCGCAAAATTCTTTAAAATTATCTTCTTGTCGCGTTATTAATTTGTATCATAAGCGATTTTTCTCGACTTTAATGCCTTCATATTTAAATTTAGTGACGTTGGGTAAAAAATTTTTTCTTAATATGAATTTGAATAATAATACTTATAACAAATATGTAATGTATAATAATACGATAATGTAAAATATACATAATGTCTCAAAGATTTATCATACATTTGTCTAAATACATTGGATATTGGATAAGAAAGAGAAATATCTATAGAAAGAAATATCTATATGTATAAATACAATTGACAATTTCTTCTCGAACCATTAATAAAAGAAGCTAAAAATATCTAATAAAAAATTAATCTTATATCGGAAGAAATTATGATCAGTGTAATTAGTCGAATTAAATTTTTCAGAACAAATTTTTATATAATTATTTTTATCTGATTTTTTAAATTTGTGACTCGATTGTTTAAATATGTAATAAAAATGATAAATTAAGAATTTGTTACAAATAATAATCTTCAATTACATTTCATTGAAAAGATTGTAAGATTCATATAATTACTATTAAACACCAAGATCCATTTCAGATCGTATTTACTATAAAAATTTATCTGATTTAAAAAGATTTACTTCTCAGTTTGCCTAAAGCCGGATAAAAAAAAACAAATATTTTATTGTGTAAATATGAGACATTCTGTATTATACGATAAAAGAAAGTTTGCATCTCTCTCATCACGCGTGATAACGTTGATTCAACAAAGACAGCCTTCTCACATTTAGAACCGATATTTTTGGTAGATTTTGCAGCATTTTCCACTCGCGGCGTATGTAGTCCACCGATCCAACTATCACTACGTGTTTAAGCTCGTGGTAATGAAAATTGGAAGCTCGTAATGGCATGACAAGGTTCCTCAGTCCGATGAGAGGCGAGTCGGGATCGGCGAACAGGCAGACAACAACGTGTCCGTTAAGTACTGTCATCGCCGCCTGATTACGATCCAGTATGCAGTCTTCGAGATTACGGGAGGGGCTCCAGTGGAACATCCCCGTCGAGTCGTACTTCATCTCGGTCTTCTCGAAATCGAAATCTTTCGCTTGATCGTCAGCGATCCCGACCTGAAGACCGCCGTTGTTGTTAACGTTCGTGCTACCCGAGGCTCTGCTCGTTGGCCTGAAAGAAATCGCACATTACGATTATAACGAATAAAGTTGCAGACACAACGTATCGTCAATGGTATTGTATATAGAGTAACGGTAACGATAATAATCTTATGCTTATCGGTACAAAATTATGAAAGAGGAATCACACTCGAAATTTCCCTGCAAGCTCTTGTGAAATCGATCAAGATCGTTAAGCCACACTTTCGCATGCATTTCTTACGAATCGCTTCATTTTTTATCACTACTAGCATTGTTACTTTATATCTCAGAACGAGTGTAAACTGGACAAGTTACTTGAATGCAGCAAGAAAGAAAGAAAAGAAGATACAGAAAGAGAGATATATTAAGCTCTCGTATTACATGCTTGTTAAAATAATGTTTGAGTGACAAAGGTTTAAGCAGGATGTCTCTATAAAATTCGCAATTTCTTTTTTTCACAGAATTCACAGGTTAAAACATTACAATGCCGAAGTCCATCGCGCGTCTATTTAGATTTATTCCGCCGCGATTTTGCATCTCTTCCGCAATAAATTCAACTCCGCGATTAATTCCAATTAATCAGAGCATGAGAAATGTCGGTCAACGTAATTCTTTGCTTGAACGCAATACGCGCATATTTTTCACGCATTCTGGACAAGACGTAAACGGCCGTCAGAACTCGCATTTCCACGTATGACACCCACGTACTTTTACTAGCGTCGTTAATGTCAGTGGCGCATGTTTTCCGAGATTAAGTATGCTCGTAAAATTCTTATGAACTTCTATACTTTTTGCAGCCGCGCCACACGCGACATGTAACTGCAGCGCAGTGCGCAATTTTGAAGACGTAATGCGGGACGGAAAATTTAACACTGCCGGAAAATACTGACCGCCTGTAATATTTATGCTCGGCTGTCGCTAATAATTTCTTTTCTCGTACAAGTCGAAATAAAAAGACTGAGTTATATAACGCGCATCTAGAGAATTTGGCGGATTAACGATTTATTAACGATTGAATAATTTTAAAGATAAAAGCGCATCGATTTATTCAATTAATTTCTCTAATAAATAATAACGAAACATTTAATTTGAAAAGAAATAAGAGCTGATAAAAAGAAACAGTGAAAATTAGTTTTATAATAAAAAAAATTGGATATATCAAAATATGAATGTTATTACTGACATCAAATAATTCGTGATAAAACCTAGATATTAGTAGAAGTAATGTTCTTAACGCATTCTTTCTCATAAAAGAAAGAGATGCATGTTAAATATTCTCTCTTAAATATCGCAGATTATCGAGAGTCGAGCATCATCACTTGACATGCAGGGAGCATGTTCATTATTATTACACAGCCATGGGATAAAGCATTTTGCATAATCACGTCACAGTACAAGGTAGCGTTAACAACGGAAGCGTACATGAGCTTTTTGACTTCGTAGGCGAGATGGTAGCCAGCGTATGCGGACTCCTCTTGCGATCTGGAATCAGAAGGTTTGCGTAACGTTGGATCTGTTCTCAGATGACTCTCTCTCTCTCTCACGCTCTCTCTCTGATTTGGCCCAGTTGATGAAAGGTATAATGATGACAGTGATAAAATGATTCTTTGGCAAGTCAAATCAAAACAATTGTCCGATTTTAGTTGTGAAAAGACATATTGCGGCTCACACGTCCCGCGATCTTGTCTCACTTGTAAAAAGGTCTGGCTGCAAAAGTACGAATCGCGTGTGTTTGTTGGCAAAAGGCATCAGACGCGCGAGGTCTTGGAATAATAATAGAGAGAAATTGCAGAAACTAATCTAGCGAACGTGTAACAGTTTCATCGGAAATGTCAACGACCACCTGTAGCCTGTTACTCGCACCATCCGGCAGCGCAGTAGTACAAGTGGCTGTCGTCCTCGCGCGATTTCTCTCGTGATTTATGCGAGCCGTTTGTCGTTCAAGTTCGCGGTGCCCTTTGTCAACAATTGAGCGAAACGATAGAAAGCATTCGTCTCTTTTGCTTCCGGCTGATTCCGCATCTAACATCATTTCGTTACATAACGCTTTTAGGAGCTACGATATATGGTCCGATCGCGGGCTATACGTCCTTTCACAATAGAAAGATAGACTTTTGGAGACGTAAAAAATTAGGTAAACGATCAGGAGTCAGCTATTCGATTTGTCTGCAACGGCGAAACTCGCGACGAAAATATCGAAATTATTCGCTCGATTGTAGATGAGATGATTCTGGATCGCATCGAAGATCTCTACCGAGAATGTTAAACCTTGGCGGGTTATATGGATCGTATGTTCAACATGCTAGAAGAATGCTAATGCGAAGGTCGTTGATACATTAATGTGCAGATCATCCTAGTGCACTCGATCAAAGTGGGACGTTGCTTTATTAATGGATTAATATCACTTAGCGCTGGAAGGTACACGCATTTACAAAGAGAGAAAAAAAAATAAAGAAAGGAACCATATAAAAGGCGCATATTTAAAACTGCACATTTTTACTTTGTGATATGTATATAATTAGGTTATTCAAAATACGTTGCCAATTCGTCAATCAGAGAGTATTGTGCAACATATTGCGTACACAGGAAATTTCTCACACAGGACGGCTTGGCGAAACTCCGTTTCGCCTGCCGTCCAAATTCCGTTTACAATTTGAATAACCCCTGTACGCCCTGCGTGAAAGAGTCGGTGAAATCTCTAATCGTGCAGCTATGAATAGTACATGTAAGCTTGTAATTAAAGTGATAAAATGTAAATTAATAAATAAACGTTCGTACGACAGGACAGAGAGAGATATCAGAGCGTACGTCAGGAATATATATATATGTATATATATATATTTATATTTACGTTCAAGCGACTCAGACAAGAAAGCGATTCTCATTGTTTTGAAAATACGTGTCGGTATCACATGTCGAGTGCACTGTAAGTCTCGCCAAAAGGTGATATAAACAGAAAAGATATTAAAAAAGAAATCCGAGCGTTGTTTCGGGAAGATCGCTTCTCGCCGTCTTATTTGTTAATTCTCAGTAGCGAAATTCGCATGTGTGTTGCTTTTGATTGGGTGCAAAAAAACAGGTGCGTATCATTGAGTACTCTGGTCATCAATGATCGTGAATGATACATACGATGGCGATGTAAGTGATCATGTTTGGATGCGTATATGTCAGGTGATGATGAAATTGTAATGCGCTCTGCGGGATAATTAGATACCTCTGATTATACGGTTGATTCGGGCTGGACAGACTGTCGTTTGTCGCTCGATTCACGTTCGGCTTCACCTTGTTGACTTGCTTCGTCGAATTTATCAGGGTCATCCCAACGGAATTCCGATGATTTCTCATGGCTGCAACGTAAAGGGATCATCAATATTATTCACATAACAGTATTAATGGTAGAAAAACATTTGATGTAGAAAACAGATTCTTAATTATCTTGTTATATATCTAATTATATATAATTAATAACTTAATAAATGAAATGAATTAATATTAGACTCCTCGCAACTGAGACTTACCATTCGGATCGTCTCGTTCACGGCTGATTTCACCTAAAATGGATAGAACAGTGTTAATTCCAAATCTGAGCATCCTATTTAACATCAATAGTGGACAAAGCAACAATGATTAAGACAATTAGTGTGTCACACTGATCGTGACCTAACTCCCCCATTACAGCGCATATTATTTCCGTGATGATGAGCCTACAGCCCCATGCTTACAGGCGCGCATACTTCACCCTATACATGTACTTTGCATGTGCCATAAAATTAATAATTAATGGCGACGATCAAATCACAAATTTTTTAATTGTGAAATCCTTCAATTGTTTTCAAACTTTTATACATTAAATTTCTTTCTCTATTAAGATAAATATGTATGAATAACTCATAAATTAAAAATAATTTTCTTAGGAGAAATCAATTCTTTATGTTTTTATTAAAATTTAAAATCGATTGTAATACTGAACATAATGCAAAAAAGTACTTTTTATACAATAATTGTTTCAAACTTTTGTTTTAAATTTTATTATAAAATATTAAATATTTTTTTCAAGAAATGTATTACTTTTCTTAAAGTAGGTATCTAAAGTCAAAGGCAGGACGAAAAATTTATTCACAAATTCATTACGTAGGTAAAAGCAATATCTGCTTCAGAAATAATTGCAAGCTATTGCGGCGCTATGAAAATTAACGAGGGACAACATATGGCGCCTGTCGCGGCAGTTTCTTGAACAACCATTTTCTGCAATGATGAAACAAAATTATAAAGTGGATGATGTACACACATATTCGCCAACAAACACAGATGTTACCAAACTAAAACTTCCATATATTAGAAACCATTAAATCTACCGTGCTGTGTATACAACTATAAATCCATCTTCACAAAGTTGAAAGCAACAAGATACTATCGATCCGAAAAGCGCGTTTCACAAAGTCAACGACTCAGTCGTGGAACAAACAGTCTAAATGTATGTGAGAGAAAAAATTCTATTTACGATACACAGAACTTAAGGGGAGAAATTAATTTAGCAAAAATTACTTGAGCTAAACGTAACGTTTCTCAGACTTGTGTTGTCAAAAACTAATTCGGCTCGATAAAGTAGCATCTATACGAGTTATATGATCTGAATGTTACGCTAGGAGAGGTATTTATTAGAATGGAAGAGGAGAATTTCGTAGAGAATTTTACAACATATTTCTGTTTACACTTAATTTATAAATTGACGGGAAAGTATGAGAAACATTTGCGTAATTAGAAACAATTTACTACTTACGCAGACGAGCACCAATAGATATTCCGAGCATTTTAATTACGTGATTTTAATTTATTTTCAATATCTTTGGCATTATTAGCTTATATTCAAAAAAGATTTGACATTCTTTTTGAAAATTGTTGCGATTTTATAAAAAAATTAATTTAGCAAAATTTGTTTTGAATAATCGTTAGATTGAAAAACAATTGTCAATATTATATTTCGGAAAATTGCCTATTCATTCGCTTTTTCGTAAAAAAAGCTTTTAAAAATGATACGCATGGTCCGTCGATATGTAACTCTACTTGAAAGAAAACAAGTAGGTCAGTAAATAACTACATTTTGTTCATTAAAATCTGCGAAATGTAATTAAATGCTTTACGAATCTATGATAAAGCAAAATGAATAAAAAATACCAAAAATAGGTTTTGTAAGACTACCGAATGCTATTGCAACTATACTAAAGTTGTGTTTTGTGCAAACTAATTCAGTGAATTTTAGTAAATTTAAAAATATAAAAAATAATTATATTACTTTTTATAATTCATAAAAAATAAAACATAATTTTATGTAACAAAGATTTTTCCAAATGAAATAATCATTAAAATAATACGACATGAATTTATATGAACTTTAAATTTACACTATATACTAGAAATAAAATGACGGAAAAGTATGAACAGGTATTGAATCTAAACAACTTCATGCAATGCTGCGAATAATGGAGAAAGTAGTACACACGAGGGTAATTTATTAGCATACACAATCACGATTGGAACGAAAGACTGGCTACGTTGCATTGCTTATCAGCATTTTTTTTCCCCACTTTCTCCAATGTTTCAGCAACACAAAATCAGCATGTTAAATCGATAATGAAAAAAAAAGTCTTAATCGAACACGACGTATCAAGAACCTATCGCTCAAGCGAGCTTGACGAAGCGTATCAAATGCGGAAGATCGAATTTCCGATATCGATCGAGAGCAATGATTCTTTTTAGGATCGTCGTATCTCTGCTAATTGTCAAGCAACTTCTCGTTAGTGTATTCGTGTCGTATTTGCCAATCGAAATTAGAAAGGGCAGCTTGCGAGACTGTAGCATGGTTTTTGATTGAGGTGTAACTGTACCTCTTACGTGAACCATCTTGGGCAGTTCTGGCGGAGTGAATGTGGGGGGAGGATGGTGGTCGTCTGTAACAAACCACTACACATGTTAGCTACCCTAACTAATTACCTAAGGCCTAATCGCTACTCTATCGTTGGACAGCACTAAATCTGAGCTATAACTTCTAAAAGCGAAGTTCCGTTTCAGCGTCGCGCGACGATACTGATAATTCAGAAATCACGTCAGGGCGCGTGATTTTATTATACTTACTAAGTAAAAGGTTACAAGAACCGTCTTCCCTTACCTTTTACTAAAATCTGAGAGGATAACGAAATGTAGAAATATATTAAAATTTGATTACTGTAAGTAGTTGACTAAAATTTAGTTTAGTATGTAAATATCAATATACATTATAGTGTCAATATAAATATATATATGTAATAATTAAATGTAGGATACGACGATAACAAGCTGAAACGGCCTTTCATTATTGGGTAAGAAAAAAAAATATCGTAAAGAAAACAACCAGTAAAATTATGGAGATAAGTGTAATTCTGAAATTCTAACAGCTAAACGTACAGTTCGTGACAACGTGGACGAGTTAACGATGAAGGTCATATAACTTTTGCGAGAGTTTTAATATTAAAAACGACTTCGTCCACATTGCGGGAACGTTATACAACATGATACTAAAATCGATCTACGATCATAAACGTGCAAGTGTGCTCAAAACATTCCTAATTCATGCCGAAGATGACGCGAGCGGAGAAGACGCGACCGGTAACTTGCGAATGCGGCAACCTTTGCTTATATTTCTGTATAAATGCAGGTTATAACAAGGTGAAAACGATCCGTTGTCTCCGCTCGCGTCGACGATGTTATATCCTGTTCTAAGCATGCAATTATATAGCCTTACAGAGTGAATATTTACTCGGCATTGTCAGTGCGCGCTTTGCATCCTCCGGGAAAGAGAATTCACGTGCAAAAACGACAAAGACTTTGCGAAAGCTCGGGGAGGAATTGAAAGAGTGCATGAAAGATCATAGAGCTCGTCTACTGAAAGCGCAGGGAGAATTCTCTTTTTTTGGATTTCGATGCCGTCCGCAGGACGAGACGAGACGCGCCGACGATTGCGACCTGGCGTTCTGTTTGCAATTGGCATTTATTTCTCGAGGCCGACGGAGTGTGAGACGAGCGAGAGGGTACATTGAAATTCGTGCGAAATTCCCCTTTACGCACTTACTCGAGTTCCCGTTTGAGCGAAATAACGTCACGCTAATTAGAAACTGTAGACAGTCGCGCGGCCGTTCGTCTCTTTGCTCGGAAAATCAAAGTAAATCCCCTCATCGCCCTTTGACACGTTCGTTCCAAGGGATCGTTCCCGGAAATTGTGCGAAGTGTAATTCCCTGCTTTTCTTTATGAAACGTAGGATCGCAGAACTCACGGCTTTCTCGAAAGGATGATGTAAACGGAGACTAACAAGAAGATGATTAAAGTCGACAAATCGAGTTGTACGATGAGATATATTGCGCTTGACAGTATTAACAAATACACTCTCACGATCAAATCTTAGGTATACCACGAAAAAGTAAGATCTTCAAAAGTACGACAAATTTTTCACCGTTATTCGTTGGCGGCTAGTCTTAAATTGGCACGCAATCATTTGACCCATATCAATTCAATCCATTTCCATTTAACCTGAAATCGATATCTCGATGTAATGTTTTCTATTTTGAGTTATTTTTCAAATTTCAGTGACTTGATTTCCGCACGGAGGTGCACTACACTGTGAGGACGTGTTCCCCCGTGTTCGAAATGCAATAGGTTTCATCTCGTAATTCAATCTGTCGATCTAACCCGTTTGCTTGTCAGATCAAGCCGATTGGAAAATGGGAGATAGACCGAAGCGGGATGTTCGAGTAAATGTGCAAAAGGTAGTACGCTTCATCGGCGGTATCGTCGGGCGGTTGTACAGCTCGTCGCTGCGCAAACCGATGAATGTCCGCGCTTCATTAGCCCCCTACGCCTCCACGAGAAACGCGTGCGCAACGCGTGTAAGTACGTGCGTCGCGATCTAAACCGCGCCTTCCCGTCGTGAACGCGATCGCGGCCGAGGGAGATCGTTATATACGTGAAATTAAATAGTATATGTACAGAAGGAGAAAAAAATGCATATATATATAAAAGTTAATGTATACATCCGCGTTCTTTCGCTGGACTTACTTGCGTACGAGAGGTCTTCACCTATGCGAAGTGGTGGAGGAGACGAGGAGAGAAGATAGATTCGGACAGATAGACACATATAGAGAGTTAGTTAAAGAGTCTTTGCTTGCGGATCTTGTGTTCTGCCGTGCGCGCGCGCGTATGTGTCTTGTTATTTCTCGCGTGTGATTACGTACGTACGTGTATGTGTGTGAGAGAGAGAGAGAGAAAGTGTGTGTATGTGTATGTGTGCGTGCGTGAATTAATGTGAGTTTATGTACCTTGACATTTAATGCTAATTGCTGTGGCGCGTGTCTCGCCGTGTACGCATGAGTCGTAAGATGAGTGTAATATAATGCGTGGCTCGAAATGAGCGATGCTTTATAGTGCCGGTGTTTTAGATTCTTGCGTTAATTAATTAACTGCAATTGTTTGTCACGCGCTTCCCTCTTACGCGCGCATCGCTCACGTGTACACGTCTATCTAACATCGTGAAGATGTGGTGCTCAGCCGGCAAACACCGATCTGCTTTCGAAAGAGGGGGAAGAGGGGGAAAAAAATACCAGCGTGGCGATCGGAGTAACGGGGGCGGTCGCCAACGGTTTCATTGATCTCCGCGTATCTCCGTTGGCGTTATCAAACTGTCCGCGGAGGTCGCTCCGATGGCCAACAATATTTTTTTTTTTTGCAGTGGCACAGAACACTCGTTGATGTCACGGCGCGACAACGCCGTCAATCCAAGAGCGACCGTTCATCTGACCGTTAATAAAGTGAATGGACACCGCGGTGGTGTCCTGAAACGACACCGGCGTTGACGTTGACGCCGACTCAAAGAGTGCTCTGCGTACTTTTCAAACACACAGGTACTCCATATCCAGCGATAACAATAAGTGTGTTGATCACACGAAACATTTACTTTGAACGTCGAAAAATATTTGAGGAATATACCGAAACGAATAATCAGGTTATAACGACGTTAAGCTCTCTTCTGTATTCAATTTCGGATCGTTGCCTCTGCCACAGGACGAGTAAAAATCCACGTAATAAAAGGGCTAATGCTAAAGTATCTCTAATTGCACGTCGAGTTTTGTTAGATATCGAACACCGATGCAAGGTTGATTGGAAGGTATAGTTTAATACTTCAAGGCAAATCACACCACGCCGATTCTCGATTGCGTTAATTTCATAATTCACTCACAACAATAACCATTGAGTAACACTGACAAACTTTCAGGAAAACTACATTCAAAACGACACCGATAGTAGTGTAATCTCAGTTGCAAAATAGTTAAGAACACCACACCAATAGGGACTCAAACACTAACGATGTTCTACGCTGGAGCCATTTATCAATCCGAACTTTAGGAGATTAGCACAACGACATTAATTTTATGAAAGCTTATCGCGGAATCATGTAGATCAAGCAAGGATAGTCTCTGAATATTTCATATTTAGGCATGAAAATTTCTACGGCATGTGTCGCGCGTTGTGCTAGTCTTGTTGAACATGTAAATGATAATTCTTTTGTTCGGTAATTCTTTTGTTTATAACCGCATGAGATTTATCGATAAAATAGGCCTTGACGAGAAACTTACTAGATAGAAAAGAATTTATTTGATAAAAATAGATAACACACATGTAATTAAAGTTCACGATTGTTTCGTCGTATAATATAAATACGATTATAAATATAGAAGTTACGAATACGTACATATTAAGTCTTTAAAATCGTCAAGACCTCAAGACATAACTTTAAATCACGTTTCCGGATTAGAAAATTTTGCCTCTTTTATACCCGTCAAACGATAAAATTATATAAAATCGCATATAAAACCGTTTACTTAAACATGACCTTTGAATTGAATTTATTTGTTGTGAAAAATAATAATTTGATTTATTAGATATTTTATAATATCTAATAAATTTTAAATACAATTAAAAATACAATTCTTAGCTGATATGACAGTGTAGTATTAAAAGATAAGAAATTATTATTTGTATTGCAATCAGATTTATATTTTTCAGATGTTTCAATAAATATTACAAACTCATTACTTTCATTGCTTCGAAGTAATTACAGTATCTTGTACTGCGGATTTACTAGCATTTGTACGACGGCACGTAGTCCTTTGCGAGTCGTATAAAAAGAAAAATAAATTGCTTATTCTTATATATATTATATATAATTAATTGGAATTATGACTTCGTTAATGATATGAACGCGCTGATGTTTCTTCGAGTCAAAGGCCATGCTATTCTATTAGAATATTATAACTTTTTTTTTCTATTTTCACAATCGCACCCCATTCGATGAATTTACTTCAAAAAAATCTCCGGGATTAAGATTAAAGAATGACGTTTGGTATACAGTCTACACACGGGGGATACGTACTTGCTCTTCCAACCATCTGAACAGCTCGCACGCCTTTCCGGAATGTGGCCACTGCCCGAAGGGAGGAGAACCAGAGCTGTTAGTTGTCACAACCAAAACAATGTCAACCTAGATGCGGGGGTCTCAACGGGTGTGGGGGATCTATATCCGTAGTCCCGATCGATATGTCACGTTTCGTGCGATTTATCAGGATAAGGGTATCAGAAATTTTCCGTATTTTCTCTCTGTTTTTCGATTCGAACTTAACTTTTTACTTCTCAAGTAAATTCAACTTTAAAATTGTATCAAACGTTTCGTAAATTACATACGAGATTGATTTAATAAATCGTGCCTGTGTGATATTTAGCTCGTGTAGAAATCGCGAAAAAATAGAAATTGTATTTCGAAACAAAGATCTAAATCGAATGTCGCTAATTTGATTTTATCAAATCAGAAAAATATTCCAGCTTTGGCGAAAAATGTCGTTGCAGCTTACTGTAACGTGACCTTCGATGGAGAGAGTCATTATTAACATTGGTGTTACAACCATTGCATATAGTTTAGTTCGGCCTACTTGTGAGGGTCGCAACACATAGAGATTATATAATATATATATCTGCGCTGTGCGGTTGAATATCGTATATTCAAGAAATACGTATATTACGAATATACAATTATACGAATAAAAAAAGAAATAAACGTTTCCTCAGAAGTCAATATCGGTTGCAGAGTGTCGGCGTTATTTGTTGTGATGTTGGTGAGTGGTGTCAAATATATGCTCGATATGTGAAGGGGGAAATGAAATATTTTTAGCCGATGTATAAACCCTGGGCATCGATTATCATCGTCCCTGTAAGCTGTTTAAGCTCATGGTTAAGCTTACGCCTTGGTGCCTCTCTTTCTGGTTGCGTGCCGAATTCAATCAACCCGCACTTAGCGACATTGAAAGTATATCACGGAAACGGAATTCCACGTGCACGAGCAGATCAATATCATACTTAATATGCACTGCTGTAGTTTTTTCTTAGCTTCATTGAAACGTTTTGGAATTAAAAAAAGAACATATCATATGTAACATACTTGAAATACTTCTTAAATAATACAATATGTACTGTTTGAAAAATTTGTAGAGTTTTAAATATTTCAATTAAATGCAAAAATATTCATAAATGCATGTTTGAACATTCGTACAAAACTCTCAAGACGAGCATCTGTAACCATATTTTAATTTCGTATTCAATATTGCAATTTGCATATTGAATTTAGATCAAAAGTAACATAGAAATTAATTAACATAAAAATTGCTGCAATAAAATTTGTTTTCATAACGATTAATTATTTCTTATTAGATACGGACAATAAGAAAACGTTTTTCGCGAAAGTCAATATTGGAGAGATTATTATATTATGACTGATATGCTCATATTAATTATGCTTACATTAATATTAATTCTCATTCATTAATTTCCAAATTTGTAAGTGCAAAGCTTTACTATATGATTTTTAGAATCGCAACTTTCACGAAAAGCGTTTGATCTGTGCAGAAACAATGCAAACTTTTACATATTAGATATATACAAGGCGACCCAAAAGTAATATTACTTGCGATCAATTATATAATAGGCGAAATGTATATATAAAATATTAAAAAATATATGTAAATATTGGGTAGCCTTATATAAAAAAGACATTTCAGTTCCAAATCGTCACGCTTATTTTTGCAATCATCGAAGCGCCTTTTGGCAACAAAAAAAAAAAGAACATTGCGCGTTATACATGAACAAAAAATACGTGACAATATCTGGAACTGGTGAAACATATGAATTACCAATAAAAGTCCACGTAAGCACACTGAAACAACAATTAAGAAACGATAATCGTTAGCAAGCCTGAAATATGATATGAGCAAACTCGTCGACTGGTGTTAGGTGGCAGCCATTATAACGTGAAGACACAAAATATACGGCCCGGCAACGTGCAAAGAATGCGTTTCTGCGCGAAAGCGGCCATTTGTATCGCACTTTGTGACGAATGAAGCTAAACATAAATACGCAATAAGTTAATCGATCATTGCGGCGGTGTAACACCATCCGTTTCGTCCAACCGGCGTGCTTGTTACTCGGCCCCGGCCCACGTGTCGAAGTAGGAGAAGAAGCGGCGGACAATGTTAGTGCTACGTAACGTAACTGTATGCTGCTATTAAAGAGCGATGCCTCGATAACTCGCTCAATGCCATCAGCTCTAGCAAAAGCCCAACGATAAACGATACGGAACGTACACGGATCCGTATGTGGGAGAGTATCGTATATATATACGGGGTACTGTGGAGTAAGTGCACGTGATAAGTGAGAGACTATTATAGTCCGTCGGTTTGGCTGTTGTACGTTTAATATCACTTACGCCATCTTACCTCATTACACAATCAAAGCCAACCTGATTCTGCCGGACATCGGAAACTTTCCGTGCAAACGGTTATACGTGGATATTTATCACGATCGTGTGATTTCTTCAATACGCGAGCATGAAATGGCACATCCGGTCCGGCAGAATGCATTTTGTTAGGATAACGAGCATGGATCGAGTATGCTGGCAATTGCGAGGGTCGATTTTTTTTTTTGGAGAAGTCTCTTTTTAAGAGACTCGATATTACTGATTAAAACCAATCGATCCATGTGTTTTTATGCTGACAAATACTCGCAGAAATACTGCGACAGGTGGCCACGCATATACGGGATACAAAAAAGGATGGAGGAGGAAGCCGGCAACAGGCATACCGTCGAGATAACTGCTGTAGGCAGTGTTTCCCTTCACCATGCCAGTCTGCATCATCATCATCCCCACATCTGCAAAAATTCAGCGATCGACCCGGACACGGGTTTATGAGTTATGAATAAAATGAACGAACACATCGTATATACACGGGAGAAAAACGTGAACGGCTGTTCACGGCGCACTTTGTTTTTTTTTTCTCTCTCTTTTTTTTTTAGTAATGTATTATAGCTTTCGCGGAATTCGTATGTGCACGGTACGCGCGAGCGGAATGAATCGTGCGCGTATGCAAATATTAACGATAATCCAGATATTAATCACAATACGATCACACGACAGTGAGTTTAGAAATTTGACGAAAATTAATTTTAATAAAATAATACTGATGACAATCTATAGCGGAGAGAAAACGCGATTTCGCGTCAGTCCACGTACGAATTCGGACACGGTATTAGTCACAATGTTTAATCACAAATGAAGGGTATACTCGGTACATCCAAGATACTCAACGCTGGAAAAAAAATAGAAAATAAGCTCGCTCGTCGGACAAGTTACCTTCCCTCGTCACCATTGAAATTACTTTGAAAACCTAAAAATTAGCGTATGACATTGCGAATCGCCCGATGCTCGAACGCCGAGGCACGAGCACCGGGAACGTTGATTGCCCAGGGTTTAGGTTTATTACCGTTCCTGTATATGGAGAAGGCTAATTGTGTGACCGGTTAAGCGTAAGTCGCTACTCGGAGGGGGGGAAAACTCGTGTGGATGTGGTCGTGTACGTGGTTGTGTACGAATGTATACGCCTGATGCGATATGTCGCGTGGTGACATGGACGGAATTATCGGACGGGGGCGACCCGTGGTCTCCTCCGATGTGCCTGAGCGGCGGCACGGGAGGGAGGGGTGGGTCGGGGGGGATCTTTGTCGTTTGTGGGAAACGGATGGATATGCTCCTGCCATCGGCGCACTACCGGTCGGCGATCCAATTTCAACCGGCGGATTCAAGAGCGAGAAACGTTCGGCGAACGTGAGAACGCGCGTGAGAATGCGGTGGAAGACGCGCGGCTCGATCGGGCCGATCGATCGACGAGAGAGAAATCTCATCGACAATACAACTAGTACACGTTGAAAGAGAAAGGGGGAGTGAAAGAGAAAGAGAGAGGGCAGACGATTAAAGAAGATAATTTTGGAAGTAGAAGAAAATAGAGACAGCGAGATAAGAGAGAGGGGGAGAGAGAGAAAGAGAGAGTGAGAGAGAAAGAGATAGAGAGAGGTGATCGAGAAAGAAGCTGTCATTACCATTATGGCGAAAACAGGTCCAAATCCGGGAGCTAGTCATGCATGCAAGGCGAGCGAGAGGGGCACACACTATTAGTGCAGGCTAGTTTTCGTTCTCGGTCAGGTGGACATGCGCCAACTGACTTTCGGGAATTACTGTGTTGAAACTCGGCACTTCATTTATTTTTCACGTCATTTCTCGCGATTGCAGCGAGCGTAAAGGTTTCCCCGAAATGGAATAAATTGATTATGCTTGTCGTTGCGTGACACACAGAGCCCGCGATATTTAATCTACTAGTGTGTAGGCGCGCAATGAATTTTCCATTTAATTCATTGTAAAACACGTTCCACTCTCGTGGTTGCGCTTTTGCTGTTGGCCGCAATTGTGAAATTCGTCGCGCGCGATCGCCGAATTTCTTTTTCCTGAAAAAAAAAAAAACAAAAGGCGTGACAGTGAAAAACAAAGAAGTACCCGATTAGATAGCATCGCCTTGGGGATTGTGTCTTGCAATGAAGATTAAAAATGCAATCATCGTTGTGCTGATCATCATCGTCATTATGATAATTAGTTTCATAATCATCTCCTTGGCTTGCAAGAGATCGATTAATGGCGGAGGCAATAAGTATCGGTAGGACAGAGAGAGAGAGAGAGAGAAAGAGAGAGAGAGAGAGAGAGAGAGAGAGAGAGAGAGAGAGAGATGGAAAAATACAAAGAGAAAGAGCGAAAGAGACAGACAAAGAGAGACAGAAAAAGAGAAAGGGAGAGGGAGCGATGAAGAATGTGAGAAACTTAATAGAGAGGCAAAATATCGCAAGGCGGAATAGAATTTTTAATATAGAATACAGTAGACAAGTATAGTCAAGTTGATGTTTCGTGAGTGGTGGGGTTGAATCAAGAGCCAGATATATAAAAGGGCAAGAAGATTAAAAAAACAAGTGATAGATCAGAAGAGATGATAATAAAGTATCAGACTTAACGAACGAGTGTGAGAGACGTTACCTAAGTCCCGGCCCCAGGAGCGCTGCTGCTGCCCCACTAGATCATATATCACAATAGGATGGTCACAACCATGTCACTTTGTTAATTGGCGCATTTATTACTCGCTCTCAAACAAAAGGGCAAAGAGGGTGGGCCGGCAGAAACCGGGTTGAGCGAGGAAGAGAGAGAGAGGGGGGGGGAGGGAGAGATAAAGAGAGCTTCCTACGTGATCTGTTTGCATTTATACGTTACTTTACGCTGAGACGTTATAAATTTTGCGAGTCACATCAAAGGCACGCTCCATCAATATCGACTGACAGAGAGAGCGAGAATGGAAGAGAGAGATAGAGAGATAGAAAAGAGAGAACGGGGAGAGAAACCGCGTGTGAGACTCGCAATCTCTATCAATAGATCGAGCGCGTTCTATGTACAAGATACATCTGTGTACAGTTTATGTTAGATATATAGATATACGTATATATATATATATAATCGGCAGAGAGAAGACCGGATGTCATTTAGCAGAAAATTTGGCAAAAATCGAGAAAGGCTGTTTAAAGGATCACTGGGCCAGAAAGACTTACAATTTTTGCACTTGCACTTCTTGATCAGAGTCTCGTCTTTAATCTCGTCGTGGCATGCTTTGCAATAGAACCACGCCCTGAAAACGAAAGCACAAGACAGATGCACGATTATTATTCGCACGAATTATAAAAGGAGATTATTTAGATGTTTATTTTTATTGGAAAAATATAAAACGATGATATCGAAAGTAGAGAAAATTTAATTATAGAAGCTGTACAGTACAATTTATAAAATATCATAAAATAATGTGCAAAAAGAGGTGACATATATAAATGCATTATATCGTAAAAAGATTTTGTAATACATTGTAAAAAAATGGTAAAACACTTGTTTTTAATTATATTTCATAAGTTATTGTTGTTTATTAACGTTAACATATAGTTTTAACTAGAACCTCTTTAGTTTGCCTTGTAAATGCAGTTTTATTTCGATAATTAATAATCCTTAATGGAGTTCAGCAAGTATGTGAAGTACAATGTCTAAATAAGCTTCGGCTTTAAATTCTTTTAGCGACTTTTTTCTGAAATATTCGAGGGTTCTTACCGCTTTACTTCGTCAGCAGATTGAGCAATGAAGAATCCCTGAGTATTTGCAGCGATCTTGGCACCACGTGGATTGATTGAGATTTTGCTGTCGGAGCCCGCTTCACCCTTTATCTCGATGGCCAGCAGCAAGAGCTTCAGTTTCGTGAAGCACAACCTACGACGACAGTCATGCGTAATATTCGATGTCTCGCGATTGCGCGTCAAGTTTTACATAAAAGTTTAAATATATATTTTGCTTTGTTTTTATACATTTATGGACGTGGCACCATTGTATGCAAAGAACGTGGCCAACGATAAGCGAAGCTTAAGAATACTGCGAAGCTGTCATTATTGATAATGAGTTGTGTTTGAACAAGTATAATAATGCGCAATAATATTGGAATAATGTTCCTTAATGTAAAAATTTTTACAATAATGTCAGTGTGATAATAATTATAAAGTATCTTTAACAAAATACGTCAGAAATAGGTAGTTGAGAACAACTCAATATCGTTCGTGTTAGGCAAACAATAAAACTTGCATCCCTAAGAAGAGCTCCTATTGTGAAATCATTTTTGTTTTAGTTTTTATTACAAAGCAAACATTATATAAAAACTGTACAATTATCTAATATTTAATAATTACCTATTATAATAATTCTATAATGCAGCTGCTTATATATACTACATATACGAATGCAAGCTTCACTCTTTGCATGACAAGATTTATTAAATTAAATGTAGCATAAAGTATTGTACTTATTTAAAGTGCCTAATGCAGAAAAGGGTAAAAATAATATTTATTTAATATTTACATTTTATTATCTAAAAAAATACAGCTTAAAGAAAATAATATGTAAAATTTTGTTTTTAATATTATTTTATTAATGTATTTAACGTATTTCATACTGTACAATACAATAATTTAATAATATATAAATATTTAATTAATTTCTTTATACTTTATGCGTTTTGTTTAGCGAATAATACGTGTTAGTAAGATATGTGTATACACCCACAGCGTAACGGGATACTGATTGTGCAGAGAGGTAAGTCTTATTTCAGATATCAAAGCATTTAAATGTACAGCGCTTATTTATTTACAAAAAAAAATTAAGCTCTGTCTATATCTGCATGTATCATCGTCCCGTTATGCCACCTCGGCGATAACTGAACATTAAACGATCATGCAATTGATGCAACATGTATATCGATGAATTAATCCAGGCGATCATGCAGGAAAGTCTTACGTAAACGATTATTACTTATCTAATAATAACGAGCTGAAACATGCCAAGATAGATCGAGGGTCTCTATCGCCCTTTATAAACTATCTATTACATTCTAAGTTCCTAATCTACTTCAAAGTTCCAGGAGGCATTCGGGAGGTCCGGTCTCATCCACGTAAGGATCGAAACGGATTAGTTAATGTTCGGGAAGCATTAAATTTATATATATAATCGTATACGATATACGGCGTATTAAAACTTAATAAAGATAATAAATATTCATAGAGAATAAATATTCATAATGTACTCAATGTGAAGATCGCTTCTTACAGGAATAGATCTCTCACACACGCAAACCAAATGATGACGATAATCCAAGGTGCGCATAAACTAAAAGAGAAAACTCGGAAGAATTATAGCTCTCTGTCTCGCGAATGACAATGCAATTCACTGATCTCTGTAGAACATCATTATACCAGCAATAGAAAACTTCTGTTATTCTTCTTTTAATATCATCTTCTTTAAGCGATTGTAAGAGCAGAGAAAATACTAATATCATATAGTGTGCAGATTGTTTTAAATTCTCTCAATGTTTTAATCTCTCCCGCTTGCTTTCATTTACGAGACAATTTTTCTTTAACGATTTTTCTTTAATCACCTGATGTTATTTGTGATTACAATTCCTTAGCAAAAGAGCTTAAATATTTCTTTAATTAATCAAATATAAAATTTGTCGAATTAATACCTATGGAACATCTGTGGAAAAAATTAAAAGAAGAATGAAGAAACTTGATTCGTGAAAATATTTAAACTATCAAAGCATCATAATTCAAAAACTATCGCTGGCGTGATATTTTTGCAAATAAAAGTGCTGGCAATTTGCCAATGTTAAATGTGTTATCTTAAAAATAGAAAAATGAAAAATCACAGAAATCAGTGATGCAATCTTAGGCAAATATATACGGTGCAATTCAGACGGCTGAGAAAGGGTATTAAACGACGCAAACGACGCATTTTTTTTTATTTTCAGAAATTTCGTGGTTTTCTTAGTTATTATTTAAGACTATTTATCGAACGATATTTATTACGGCGACGTATATGATAGTATTTAATTTATTTAATTAGAATTTATTTAATTAATGCAGGGCAATGTGTTATACATTTTCGATTTTTACGTTTTATTTTATAATTTTCATCACAAGAACTCACAACGACACAAAAAGAAGGCGTATTTGTTTTTAAATAGATACAATTTCTTAATCGAATTAATTATCATACATAGTAACTTGCAATGAAAATAAAACACAAAATGATGTAAAAATTACGTACAATATTTTCATTTCTGTTGAAAATTTGAGGCAACATGCGTACGAAAAAGATATAAACTGCTTTTGGAAGTATAGACATTACATTTACTTTCGTATATTTTACATGCTTTACGTTTACGTCATAATTATAAAATCACCGTAAACCGAGTTGCAAGTGACTATATAATTTAAGTATAACAACTTTGGTCAATTTTTACTGTGTGTGCTGTGTGTATGTGTATGTGTGTGTCATAGTATCAGCGAGCCGATATCTGCAGTAATATATTAGTGCTTGTAGGAAGAGCGGTATCTCCCATAAATTACTCCGAGAATTTTCGCACAAACAAAACTGCGAGCTCGATTAAAGTCCGTTAAACGTACAGTGTGTACTAATACATATTTATGCTTAATCGACAGCCACGATCGATATCTGCCCGATACACTTCTCTGATAACTTGTGTCAATGTGTTACGAGAATAAGTTTCACATACTTTTACATGGTAAAGAGCAGCAGGCATGCGTGTACAAAGAACGCGCTTTTTGTTAAGATAAGATTAGAATGCTACATCTAAGGACACACACCATGACAAGGATACGGACATTACCGACAAAAAAAAGACAAAAAATCTCGCCCGTTACGTTATGTCCAAAAGTGTTCGTATAAATCTCCCAACTCCTCCTCAAAAAAACCGATTTCTCCGTTCTTCTTCCCAATAAAAAATAGAAATTGTGTCATTTCGCCGTTTCAAAAGTCGGAAAAGAGATCACGCGAAATACGCGCGCGCTTCTTTCTCATTTCGTCTCACGTTGCGCCGCAAAAAGAAACTATGATATTGCCGAAGCGGGATGCACGATTTACAGGGATGAATGCGGATCTCGCAAGCGATTCTCGCAACGCGCGTCTGACTGCAACTAGTCGAGGCATATTAGGAATAGCTGCTGGTCACGTTATGCCACGACACGATATTGCGCGCGTCGATTTAAGATTAAGAACATTCAAGGCCGACAATCAAGTAATTTTCTCGACATTTAATGTCACGACAATGAATGTCCCGTATACTTTGTTTTATACGTATGCAAGTCCTTTAATTACTATTATCCGTAATGGTTTCTATGCAATGATGGAATAATCTTAAAACGAATAATTCATTAAATACAAAAAAAAACAAAAAGAAAAGAGAAGGTGAAAAATCTCTGAAAAACGCAGGAAGAGAATTGTTCCTATCACGTAAACGAATTGAGCTGTGCGGAAGATTAAGCAACGCGCGAGTTTTCAATCTCGGTATTAATTGTTCCGCGAAATAGTGTCGGGATACGAGAGTTCCATTGCGTCCGGTTGTCCCCGACGATCTCGTCACGCTCGACAGGAACATTTTCAGAATCGCGATCAATCGCCTGCGCCGGTGTGTTTCCAGAAATTTCGAAATCCGGGACGTGGGCTTGAAACACTTTCGTTTTCATTGGGAAACACTGTAGATTCCCCCGTTGCCAATCAAGCGTCCCAATTAGAACCGAGCCCCGACAATCGCCGCGATAGGCGAGCAAAGTCCGCATTCGTCCCCGGCAGTTCGTCTCTCTACTCTTCATTTCTACGCAATTCACAAAGATCTGTGCAGAACTTCGGAGCAGCTCGAAAACGAAGATCCAAACTAAATCGAAAGAATGAGAAGGACACGGCGGAACGGAGGCAAAAAGATAAAAAGAAAAACAGGAAAAAAAAGGAGAGAATAGATTCATACAGCTCAAAACTGGACTACTCTACGCAAAATCCAAACAAAAGGATATAGACAAAAAGACGAATATAATAGAGAAAATCTAATAAAGAAAATTGTTTAAAGACTAAGAGACCGAGGTGAGGGGCGATATATGTAAATATATATAAGGTGTATATATATATATATATATATATATTTGTCTCAAGTATGTGACAATATATGTGTATCTCGGTATCGAGACAGTTCAGTGTGTTTATTCGTAAGACAAGATAAGACAAAGAGATAAATAGAGAAAAAGAGAAAGAGAGATAGAAAAGAAAGGAATTCGTAGCCGAGTGTATGGTGTCGATAGAATATTTCCATATTTGCATTATTCTTCTTTCTTTTCGTATATGAATGTTGTATGACGGTCCGTATAGTTGTCAATTCTGTATAGATATGTTGTGTCGCGTGACTTTGTGTGTGAGAGAGAAAGAGAGAGAGAGAGTGTGTCTGTTTACGAGGTACGTTTACGTGTGTGACAGCCGTTGGCAGCGAGAACTTACTCGCTGGCTTGGGGAAATGTCATCCCGGTAAAGGACGGGGAGAGGGTTTCCGTGTACATCTCGCAGCCCGTGCCCTGCAGGTAATCATTCTGCCACGCCTGTGTGTCCGGCGACTGAAACACCAACCAACCAGACCCCACGTCATCAAACTTTCATGATCCACGTCGCGTATGCGAACGCGCGGAAGGAAGAGCATCAGCTGCGTGCGAGCTGCTACCCTTCCCCGGAGGGAGAGAACTGGAATGGGACAGTTTCGTATATCGTTTTGCGAGCGGGGGACCGCGAATCGTCCGGTCGATGCCGTTCGTCTGAAAAAAATTTATCTAATAGGAGCGCAGCGTGTAATCTTACTCCTCGAATGTGCGCGAGCTCTGTAAAGAAAATCTGTTCACAGATCTGATTTTCTATTAAACATAAAACTTCTAAGCCACTCCCTCCAGACAACACAAAAGTGTAAAAGACGTTCGAGTGACATCCGGAATGGACGCTTTGTCTAATCGATACGGACATCTCTTTCCAAGTTTCATGATGTAATGATTTTCTTTTATACGTTTGTGTTGCCGAAGGAAATCGTTTCTGACCGAGTTAGAATGTAGGCCAGGACCCGCTCGGGATGCCGATCCCGAGCGACGCGTCGTCTCGACGCACGGCGATCATGCTGCACGATGATGCATTTCGCAATTATGGCGACCGACCGGGGTGAGAGTTATTATCACCGTCACCGGGACGAACGAGCGAACCGTTAACGATCAAATTCCAGAGACCGTAATTCCGGGGGCGAGCACGCGCGCGCATACACTCACACTCACACTTAGACGCATATATGCATATATTCGGGGAGCGCATGGAGCGCTTGATCTCTTCCAAATTCTCTGTCCCACCCCACCTATCAATCTCAGCAATTCGTCGATTGATCGAAGCCTGATCATTTCTCACGTTTTTCTTCCTCTGGCTACACTTGCACGTCGCTCTTGCACGCGCAAGCTCTTCAATTACGTTGCTCTCTTCGTAGTATATATATATGTATAGTACATAGTACTCTAAAGTCCGCAAAGAGTGCTCTTTCATTGATACGAACGACGACGAGGACACATCTTCGATCTACTTCTCGGGCTATCATTTTTCTAAACGTTAGGAGAATGATGGTTTTCAGAGTTCTAGATTCAGTAGTGCAATATTTTGACTGCCGTGTTTCTTTTTTCTGGTAATCAATCTGTCAGTAGTTTCGCAAAAACGAATAACACGATAAACTATTGATGAAGAAATTGAGGTAGCTTTTGAAAAATACTTGTTTTCTATTTGACTTCTACGTCGAAATTCTAAATTCTGTTTCTAAATATTTCCAAATAAGATTTCGCCCTTTTCGCACATCTGTTTATCTTTCCGAAATAGCTATACAACCGAAAATCCTGGACCGTGTGCACGTGTGTTGATCGAGAAATGTCTTCCTCGGATAGCCAGCACAACGGTAAACACGTTGTTGCAGGACCAGCACCAAACTTGGATCAAAGGATTGCTCTATGAATCTAGCAACTCCACCGCTGACGAGATGGAGATGCGACCGCCATATTTACTCGCCCGCCGCTATAATATAGTTTTACGGAAAGTCTCCAGTTTAGTCTGGTTTAGAAATTCTATAGCAAGAATTAGATCAAAGGCTCTGAATGCTCCGCGATTCCAATCACTCTAATAAGATCGTGATCGTGTCGTCGTCATGTCGTTCCTCCTTCCTTCGTGCGTTCCGCTTACTCTGTTAATTAATGTTATTATTGTTACAAGTCGCTCAAAGTTATACAATGTATATAACAATTGCAGAGAGGAGTGAAAATAACAGATACGTTACTGAAGCGATGAAGGGGTGGTTTACATCGATTAGGTGTAGCACAGATATGGTTTTGTACAATATAGTAGACACGTTCATGTATTATGTTGTAATATACACACATATATATGTATATATACGCGCGGAGATTTGCGCGCTCCGTTGTATATGTGTATATTTACGTATATATTATATGTATATATATACGTTTACGTTTATATAGCGGAGTGGAGCGTAGTGAGAGACATAGGCGAGGCGGAAGCTTCATCCCTTTTCTTTTTTCCTTCCGATTCAAGAGACCGCGGACCTTTTTTCGAACCTGACCTTGTCGTCGTTAACACGATCGCGAGACGGGCCTGCGAAATATATGGCGGCGATTCTCGCGAGCAAGTCTCACTACTCAAAGGAATTCTTCGCTCGAGTGTCCCTCGAGATTCCATTTGGATGAGCTATGCGCGGTGAAACCCCGAAGAGTTTCGTTCGTGTCTCGCAGCGACGAGTAGAAGAGCCATCCATTTTCCATGAACTTTTTACATGACCGCAGAGGGACTTAGCATAAGTCGAGAATAAGTGGAATTATTTTAACTTGGTAATTGAAACTCATAAGTTTCATGTTTATTTACTGTAATTGTAGCTTTTGAAATAATTAACTTGCTCGCGCCACGGAATAATTCTGCTAGATTTTTATTTAACAATTTTTAACAGCTTAAATGGTATTTATATTAGGAGATTTTACATAGCAGGAGCATTTAACGTAGCGGAAAGGAAATTTAATATTTTCAAAAATATTAAATATTATATGTTCGTTTATAAATTGTAGCATTTAAGTTAGTAAAATTTATTCTAAATAAAATTTATTGCTCTACATCTCTTTATTTCGCCAATCACTCATGTGATCATCGCGCGAAAAAAGATATTGATTATCGTTTTAATGTCACTAATATATAATCAGGCAAAAACGCCTCTCCTTTCATTATTTAATCACTGCTGGAGAAAACGAAGCAACGAAATCTAATATAAGATGATAAGAGGATCCCACAGCTTGCCAAACTATCTTATTTAAGTTTCTAATTTTGAATCCCTCCGCGGCATAAAAGCGCAGCATACAACGCAAGAAGTCCATAAAAATAGCGGGAGATCAGGCCCCCTGGCTTTTTCCTCGTTAGACGACAAAATCGATCGCTAGGCCACGTGTTTGCTGCGTCACTGGCTGAAGAAGCATGAATTAAAAATAATCACACGCGCGCCACAACACCATTATTGATACGGAATTAGCGGTTATATCGACGGTTCCGTACATTTCCCGTGGCGGCTTTATCTCGCAGCCGCGCAACAAGAAAGAGAACGGACATCACTATGATGAAGCGAGGGAGCACAGGGGGGTAGCGGATACAGCGCAGACACGTGATCAAACACATGATGGACGATCGGCGACGGCGATCGAACGATAGATCGAACGCTCGCACCGTGGTCCCGTCTCTTGAATCGGACGTATATATGCGCGGATCTATCTGCTGGATGTTAGATTGGTCCATAGACCGACTTACTCAGTGGCTTTCGCAAAGGGCATTCCAATGAAGGTAGGGCTCAGTGTCTCGGTGTACATCTCCATTCCGGTTCCACGCAGGTAGTCATTCTGCCAAGCCTGCATATCGGGCGACTGGTACCAATCAACCAACCATTTCTAAATCACACACGCTCCTATGCATGTACGGATTGTGCGCGGTATGTCCACAGTGAGGTGCTCGTGGCCCGACTATTTCCGCGTTGTGACGCGACGTGACATATGATGCGAATCTCAAGTCGCTTCCGCCGTTCCGCGTGTACGACGTATAACGCGCGCAATAATGAGTTAACGATTTTCACGGAATCGCGAGGTAGGAGTCATCGGAAATAATCTTGTCAACGTCGGACATCTGTCATTTTGTAGCTAGGGAGGTCTGCGCGCTCGAATGATCGTAGGACCGGCCCGACGAGGATTTCGCGAGATAAGAGAAAACGGCTGACGGTGTTAAGATCTCATTTGTATAGGTACGCGATCACTGTGAACAGTTCGTAGGAAAGAAAACCTGCACGAGGGATTGCGTTCAGACATGCATAGACTAGATGGCAGATCTGCACTGCCGGAGGACGACGTTTTACTGACCGTCTTAAAGGAACGCATCGCGAAGAGATTGGCCATCATTGTGCTGAATCCAGGCGCGAGGCAGGACTGCGCGATGAAACCTAGTTTCAACTCAGCCAGGCATATAACGTCGTCACCCTGCTTCCAGTCCCACGATGGAATGTTTAATAAGTAGGCCTGGAAAAACACGATACGGTGGACAAGATAAATAATCTTTAATAGAAACGTATAATTGCAACGAAAAGTATATCTTGAAAAATATTGTACATATACATAAATTGCAAGTAGAAATCTTAACAAATTAAAATTTTGAAAAACTCAATATCAACTTGCGCTTTATAAATTGCGTCTCGTTTCGATCGAAGTTGGATTTATCGCCAATTCAATCGCTCGACAGCGGTTACCTTGTTGTGATACTGCATTAATTGAATGATAACGCGAATGTCATCCGAATAGTTCTTGATGGAGATGACGCGCATGATGTTCGCCGCGTCTTCCGCGTCCGGGTCCTGGCAGTACTTGTTCGCCAGTACCAAGCACGCGTCCGCCTCGTGTACCTAAAAAGCATCGAGATAAACCGTTTCATGCCGTCCGTTGTTCCGTTTTGCAGTCGATTTACTATTACGTAATTCAATAGACGGGAAGAATGTATATTGGGCAGGACATTGGTCTCAAAGCGATAGCAAAATAGAATGGAAGTTGCTCCACGAGCGTATATTTGAAATTAGTGTAATAAGTAATTTTGGATTTTCCAATAGATGATGTTATTATTTATCTGTAATTGGTATGTTCATTCTCTTAGAATTTAGAATATATATGCACAGGCATTGTGATATGAATTTAAAAAGAAATTATCAAAATTGCTTGAGTTTAATGGATTTGGTATTAATATTAAAATGCAAAATAATTAAGATATTTTCTTAATTTTAATGAGTTCAACTAAAAATTCGATTTTTTTAGGTCTGCAAAAATCATCTCGCATCGTTCTTCGTAAAAAAAAATTGGAGAAATTTTTTGAGAATGGAATTATGAAAAAATAGTAGAAGACATAAATTAAAATGATTGCACACATTGTTCAATAAAGTTAAAATAACGTTTTTTATTTTATTAAAAAATCTAAAATTACTTATTACGTAATTCAATATAATGGAGCGAAAAAGATAAAACTATTGGTCAATTAATCAATAAAATTGTGTTTATTTAACGGCAAAGAGAAAAAGGACTGTTTGGAACGCGTCGCGATCGTCGAAATCATTACGGTGCGTGTAAGCTGCTAAATCTACGGATCGTCGATCTACAATTGTACTAGGAAAATAGACTTCCTCTTTTCTATATTTAAATATATAGATTTCCTTTTTCCAAATTAGAAGAATTTTATATAATGGACACAGAGAGTATTGTCGAAAATACAACATATGAAACGGAAAATTCTTCGATATAAAAAGGGAATACTATGGGAATATGCATCTACAATATAAAAGTCATATAAAAGCATTCAATGAGACAACAATGGCTACTCAATATCGAAGATTCGCACGGCCAGTAGGGTTGATAGTTTCACAAAATATGATGAGATAAGGCAAGTTAATTGAATTCATGAAAATTTAGCATCGAATCTGAATTTCATCAAATCGCTGTACGTCCGCATTACTTGATTTAATTGCCAATTACTATGCAAATAATGCGTCCGATACTGTTTATAATTTCACGATTTACCACTGTCAACAATTTCATTCGCGCGACGGATTTTGCCTGAGAATTTACAACTCTCGTAAATTGCGTGTGAGATGTATTTCAATTAAACGCGTTTAGAATGAGAATATTTTTAACAGTGGACAAACTTGATTCGGCAATTGAAATATAAAATTTGCAAAAGGCAATGAGACGTAGAGACGTCCCGGAAATCGTCCTTCGTGCGCACCTTCGACGCAATCGCACGAATCGAACAATAATCGAAAATATGAAAGCGAGCCTATGGCACATTCCTTGGATATGCAAACATCATCGATCATCGGGGGCTGGCGGGCGGG